ACAAAATATGAAAAAGTTGTGTGAGTTTATTTGTTCTATTTACCGTATATGAATATTATATACTTCAAAAAATCATTTAATAAAATAAATATACATATAACAACATACTTTAAACTAATTTTTACTCACCTGTCACCAATTTACAAAATTTTTGAGGCAGACTTGTTACAGTATCAAGTTTTTTCTTTAAATACTGTGTATTAACCAATTATAATTGATATACAAAATCTCATACAATGTACTACCCAATTGTAGTGGGTAACGACTTTTTTCGGTTATTACATATTGGTACCGGTTTTATATCAACTTCAAGTTACATATATGAAAACTTGCCAATATGTTCAAATTTCAAGTGATATTATGAGTTTTCAGGTAGCACATGTGATGTTTAAGGGGTTTTAATTTCAAGAAATAAAACTTGCAAGCATTCAAACAAAATAATTAAAGTTACAACGTTTATTATTCAATACATAAAAAAAATTAAAACTAGTAAAAAAATTAAATAAGTCGGTACCATGATACTATCATGATAACGCGACTTCCACCGTGTACCAACCAACAGGTAGGAGTGCTCAAAAACCCGACCAACCCAACCCAACCCAACGCGAAATAACTCAACCCGAAGCAACCCGATGTCTAATCGAGTTGTAAAATTTTCAATATTGTGTTACTATTATTTGAACCCAACCCGATATCCATTTATTTATTGGATTTAATATGATTGTTGAAATTCTATTAATATATACACTAGACGATTACACTATCACATATGCTATTCATATACACATCTTTTCAATCTATTCACATTTCTATATAACTCATTTGTATATATGTTTAGTAACTACAAATATATATACGTAAATTGAGAAAATTAATTGAATGTGATATACGCAAGAAGTATGGATATCAAATGGTTGATGATGATGAAAAAGAAATTATGAGTAGAGAAATAACATGTTCAAGGTTAGAAGAATATTTTAATGTATCAAAGTATCAACCCGACCAACCAGTACGGTTTGGATTGGGTTGTGTTAAGATTTTTCAAACCGCAAGCATTGGGTTGAGTTGTTAAAATGTCTCCAACCAGATCAACTCAACCCATGAGCACCCCTACCAACAGGGACGGACCCAAGAATCTTTGGATACGGTGACACCATTTAAAACGGTTGCACCTTTCACGAACCTAATTTTTTTACCTTACCACGAACACGAAGGAACAATACAGTGGCACGTACCACCTAACCACCCCTCTAGGCCCGTCTATGCAACCAAGTTTACGTATTTAGTAAGATACTAGCAACGATTGTAATTAATATCATTTAAGTTCTTATCAATTTAATTGATATACATATTGGTTGATTTAAAAGTGGAAGGACTATAAGTGTCTTTCTTTAAAACATAAAGGGGTTAATATGTAAAGTCTCGTAGCCAGAAAAACCCCAAACTGCATTTACACGTCGTCGATCCTGTCCCTCGCCGGCTCCGCTACCGTCATCTGCCTTTGGCCGTCCGCTGACCGCTCGTGATGGTAGTTACGATTCTCTCTGTATCTCTGTATGAAACTCTTTTTCATTTGAGATTTCTTACGAATGTACGAAAATGAGCATGAATTTACCCTGAATTGAAGAAATTGGTCTTCTAGATATCTGTATCGTAATGTATGGGTGATTATATATGCTCCACGCCTTGCAATTTTAATGTTCTTATGTAACTTGTTATTGTTCTACGTCTTCTTTTTGATTTATTTTGGTATCCACCTCTCTGGGTTAAATACTTACCTAATTTAGCACCCTGGTTGGTTTGGATTATGTGCCGGAGAACTTCAAATAGTTCAATTTCATGTGCGTATTATTATTGTTGATCAATTTACGTTCAATGACATTGGAAATTTATAAGAGATTGAGAGTTATTGACATATTTAATGATATATATATGTTTCAGTGGTTATAGTTGTATGATCGAGTTGTTGTATTGGACAGATGGGGAAAATTGCGATATACTTCTTATACACACATAATTTCGATCGTTGGCTTGTAATCACATGTCTGGTTTCTTTCACCATTTTTGCTTTCAACTTCTGATTTCCCTATTTAAATATGTAAACGACTATCCTTTCATATTTTCAAATGTTATGAACTGTTCTCCTCTGCATTTCTGAGGCCCAGTGCTAGTAATCTGAAATGTTTTCTTTTTTCTTTTATATCCTGATGTTAAGAAGTATATTACTCCAAAAATCAAGAATCTGTCGTTGGCACCCAGGGTTTGAGCTCTAAGAACTAAGGGCCCATTCATTTTGGGGGGAAGATGCATATATATGACCTTTCCCTATTTTGCAACGGCTCCACTTTAATCATCGACTCCAACATACATTTAGTCCCACTTTTGAAAAAAGTAGTATAACCAATGGATCTGCAAAGCCATGGCAGATGATTTCAGGGATGAACCCTTGTTAGCTGTGACAATTGCTTGTTAACTTGGTATCCTGACATTTTAGCTTTTGAGTGATAACTTATCTCTTCCTCAATAAGCACTACTTACCTGGTAAGAGGCTATAAGCACTTGGTAAACAACCCCTAAGAGTATGATAGATCCAACAGGGAGTTCTTGATGTTTGCATTTCTACTAGTTTGCTCTTTTCACTTTCCTGCCCCTGCAGTTGTTTTTGTTGGAATTGTTTGATTTCCTTATGCCCAGCATTGGATCAGCTGGTAGGACTTAAAGGATGGTGATAAGTTTTAGGTAGCGTTTGGTACGCATACATGATTGAAAAGGGCATAACTGGACAGGACAAGAGGGTAGGATTGGACATAACTGGACGGGATAGGACTGGACGGAACTGGACTGGACGGAACTGGACGGGACATGATTGGACCGAACAAGTGTCTGTCAGGTGTTTGGTACGACTAGGACTGGACATGACAGAACTAGATGCGGTGCCCCAAAAGTTATTTATGATTTTATATATCATATAATAGTTATAATTAACACAAGCATGCTTCCGGAACTTGTTCGTCAACACCAAGTCAACAGGTCAGACATGGCTAAAGTAAATATTTATTTTATAAACATTTCCACACAATTTTCATATACATAAATATAAAGTAGTACAAAATTTGAATGATTTTTTTTATATAATTGATGGTAGTTTGAAAAAAACCCGATTCATACAAAGGAGAAGTTATGTTTTATTTGGTTTGGTAGATCCTTATCAGTTGGTGAAGGCACGGTGAAAATTGTTGCAACAATGGTTGTGGAGGTAGAAGCATCGGTAATTGGTGGACGATGGTGGTTGTGGAGGACGTGAAGATGGTGGCGGTGGCGGTCGACAGTGTTGGAGAAGGTAGTTGTGGCCTATGTGGTGGAGGTAGTTGTGATGGTGCGCAGTGGTGGTGGTTATGGTGGAGGTGGGTGGCCGACGATACTAGTTGTGGTGGAGATGGACGGTGGTGGTTGTGGAGGATGTGAATATGGTAGATAGTGGTAGTGGTAGCCGATAGTGGTGGCGGGCAGTGGCAATGGTAGTGGTAGTCGATGGTGGTGGCTATGGTGGAGGTGAGGTGGCCCATGGTGGTGGTTATGAACGGTGTTGTTCGGTGGCCAACAACGATTATGGAGGTGGTGGAGGAGGTTGTTGTAGTAGAAGAGAAGTGGACATGGCCAACGGTGGTGGTCGGCGGCCGATGGTGGTTGTGGAGGTGGTGATAGATGATGGTCGGCGGTGGAACAAGAAAAAACCTTTCTTGTCCCATCTTGTTCCACCTATTTTGGTGGAACAAGAAAAAGCCTTTTTTTGTCCCACCTTGTCCTAGTTCTTGTCCCTGTCCCTCTCCCATGTTGCACCAAACGTGGGATAGTGAGTTTTGTCCCGTCGTGTTAGTCATGTCCTATGTACCAAACACAGCCTTAGTGTTATATTTCAGAAAACTGGAAGAATTTATACTTTGGTTCAGATCGGGGCTTGGTAGATGCATCGACCATTTGAACTTCCTCCCACCTTTTGCTTTGACTGTGGTTGGCCAGAGACACTTGACCAAAATTCAAACATGGACACCTACTGTACAATTGCATCTTTATAGTTTATGCATTATGAAGCCTTCTACAATTTCATATAGATACTGAAAGGCTTAAGATTTGTATTTCATTAAGTTCCTTATCTATCTCTTCTCTTTTTCTTGTTGCCCCTACCCTTAGTTCTAAGATTGAGGACATAAATGCTCCATTTTCCAGTTGCATGACAAAGTCCATACTGGATTGTACTTATATGCCACGGCTGTTGGAAATTTAATCCCATCTTATAAAAATTGTTGTAAACCATTCTTATTTGTTAGCTTTTTATACTGCTACTTTCAAATGGGTAGATTATATTGCTATGAATGTAGCATTATCTAGAATCAATCTCTAGGTCTCATGTGAACATGTTTGGAATTTTCTTCGGTCAGATTTTGCAAGTTAAATCACAGCGAACAAACACTGCTGAATTAAGGAAGAAAATGCCCTAGATGGTGGCAAATTTTAGGAATAAATGGGAGAATAAGATGAATGAAGAGAATGGCTCTGCTAAGAAAACTCAGGTATGATTCTTATCTTTTGCTTTCGTCAGACTAATTTTGCTATGCCTGTTAAAGCAGTCCCTTAATTCTTGCTTAACCCCTGTTGCATGATATTGATTGCATCTATTAAAGTCCCACATCGGCTAGACTTCGACCATTTCTCCTCAATATATATTGGAACCTTCCTTCTCTCCTCAAGGGCTCTTTCGGAGAGATTTAATGGGTTCCATATATTCTCACTCTCTTACATATAAAAGACTTGTAGACCTCTAGGTCTAAATTCTTTTTAACTGGTAAATAATTTATTCCATCAAAATACACATTGAAAATGATGCCTCATAACACAGTATAACATGAACCATAAACCAGGTATTCAATCAGTACAAAATTCCATCAATCTTAATCGGTTGGAAAAATCAAAAAAAGGTAAGTGATAAGACAAGCTTTCTTTCACTTAAGTAAGTAGTTCATATGTTTGTTGAGGAAATCACCAACGATGATTCTGTATGCATTCTCTGTAAAATGAAAGCTATCCCAGAATACGTACTCCGACACATTTGTACATGTGTACTTGCATAAGAAAGCTACCTCTATAGTACCCGTGCCGCAACATCCTATGTTGGAAACATCAAACCCTGTTATAAAAATGCGTAAATTGTTACATATACTTGTATATCATGCATTAAAAGTTATACATACTATTGGATTCGTTTAACCTAGCCTCCAAACAAAAGAACACAACCATTAGAGAAAAGTATTAAGGAAGATTTATGTCAAATAATTTAATTAAGATCGGATGAAAATGACAAAGGTGATATGATTACAAGAATATAAATATGTATCCACAAATCTTTTTAATATATAAGTAGAGGAAAATAAATTAATAACATACCATATTTGGCAGGGTTTTGTATGATGTCAAGTGGAAGATAATAACCATCAATGTAAACCATCCTTGCAAAAGGGAGATTGTGGCTTAAGGAATTGATCTCCATTGATAGCTTGGTGTTAAACAACTCTGCTAACTCATTGTAGTTCCCTGCACATGCTCTTAGTGTTCCTCCTTTCAAAGTTCTTTGTGATGGTAGACATCCTATAGGTGGTACACCAAAAACGCCTATCCTTCGAGCACCTAAATTGTATAAATCCTGTCGTTTTTCAACCATAAAATCCATGTTTCAGTATGCAGGTCAAAAAAACCATGGTACAAAACCTTGATTCCTAGTTAAACAAATCTTGAAAGTAATTTCAACCCAACATACAAGTCAAATCAAAGAACAAAACTGTTTTGAGTTCCCATCGGCAAGACTTAAACCATTTCTTCTCTATATATGTTGAAATCTCCATTCTCTTCTTGAGGACTCTTTTGGAGAGTAACGTGACGGGGTTCCACGTATTCTTACATGGTATCAGAGCCAAGATCTAACACTCTAGAGATTTGACTGTCTTGGGACATTTGTACTTGTCTAGCTCCCTTACCTGTCTAACCCCCTCTCAACAGAGGACAATTTGTGCCAGTCTAGCCTTTATTAGAGGGGCGTGTTGGAGTTCCACATCAACCAAACTGGACTATTTCACCTCGATACATGTTGGAACTTTCATTCTGTTCTCAAGGGATCTTTTGGTGAGTAATCTAAACAAGTTCCACATATTCTCACAAAAACAAAGAAAATTTGCAGACCAAAATCAAGATTACCATGATTATAGATGGGTAATAACGTAAGGAATATATGTCAAACGAGACATAACATGATAATTTATTAGTTTTGTTATTGTATTATATTATGAATGTTATGTTATTAGATGGTAAAGTTACCTGTAAAAACGAGGAAGCAGAACGGAGCATGAGACTGGTGTAGGAGTCAAAGTCAAAGTGATATTTCCGGAGAGGGTTATTGAAGTAGGTGTTGGTGACGTCATTGCTCCCCGTTGCCACGATGAACAGTCCTTTGCTTAAAATTGTATTTGCTGCTTCCTCTCCTGCCATTGACTTCACCTTCTCAATGTACTCTTTGAACAACTCTATTTGTTCCTCAAGTGATATCACTGACTATGGGCAAATAAGTAAGTTTGTAATTTAATTTACCCACTCTAAGTAGTAATAATATGAATAGTTGCACGTACCGCAAGCTCGGATGTAAGGGGATCGTATCCACCACCTCCGGAGGCAAAGTTCACTCCTGTTAGTAGATCTTCGATCCCTAGGCTTGGATCAAGATATGGCCGTAATACTTCTTTAATTCCGAGTTCCTCCACTGCATTATCAAGAGTGTGTTAATAAGTTCATGCATGGCTTTTCAAGTCTTTCTAGGAAAAATTTCCCTGCTTATTTAGGTTTTGTTTCGTTTGCGGGATTGGATCGGATCTGGAGGGATTTGGAATTGTATTCCATTCGAGTCCCATATTTGGTTTGAAGGATTTCATGGATTTGAAATCCCATCGGGTTGGTTGGTATTTCATGGGATTTCGTAGGATTTGTATGTAATAGTGGTTTTAAATAGGTTAAACACATTTGTTTTGTGATAATCAATTAATAAGAGGGTAATTTAATTATGGCTGTAGCTATTTATAAGTTTTTTATAAATAATGGAAATTAATTCCATTCCAAATCATGCAAACCAAACACCCCAAAGATTCCAAATCCTTACACGAAATTCAAATCCCTCAAAATCATTCCATCAAACCAAACGCTCCTCTAGTGTTTTTTAGTTCCATTGATATGTAGTTTTACAGGACTTAGCATATAAACGAGTGTTTGTGCTAAGGCATCTCCAATGGGTGGGTCTTGGACCGGTACATTGCCACATCAGTTTGGAGAAAAACAGGTTATACGATTACGAGAGAAAAAATATGTGGACCGGTTCCACCACCACTTTTTATGGGCCCCAAAGCCAGTTTAATAAATGAAATTATCACTTTCTTTTATTGTAATTTTAATTATAAATTATGGACCGATTCATGGTTTGGGGTAGAAGGATTATAAAATGTGTAGGAAAGAGAAATCTGACATGACAGAACTGGAGATGCTCTAAAGGGTTTGTAGCCGGCAAACCCCGAGCTGGCCCAGACATTCTTGACTAAAAGCATCATGTGAGTGGCAAATTAGGTACACAACGATGTATTAGGTGGCTGGTTTAAGAGCCCTGTACCCACAAAGAGTCAATTCCCAAGGGAATTGTAACTCCGATGCTGTGGTCGTAAGACTCGAACCCTTGCTTGTTTGTGCAGGTATACCACCTAAAAAATCAACCAGTTAGGCCCTAAAGACCATATGAATTAGTGTTGTGGAATCGTACATTACGGATGCTCAAATATTGTAGCACATATACACCATTGACATATATAGCGACATTTTCGCTAACATTAGTCAAAAACGATGTCGTTTTATATATCTTATAGTTATATAACTGCTATTGGTCTATAACAGTTAAAAGATCAATCACTCAACCATATAAAACAAAAAGAAAGAGATATACATGTATATATATATATATATATATATATACATACCAATGAAATCAGAAGGAACTTTGCCATTGGAAAACCTGCCAGTGGGTTGACCTCCAAAAAAGTCTTTGCCATAAGGAGGGTAATTGACCTTGAAAATTGTCTCCAAGTAATTGTTGTTTCCTGTATCTACTATTGAATCTCCGAACACTATTACTGCTGGCACTATTCCCGCTTTGACACGTTTCTCAAGAGGGAATGATAACTGATTTGAAGCACTGTTGTCGTTGCATTGTAAATGCAACGGCAACAGAAATGTTAACAGAAGAAGAGAGGAGAGTGATTTATGATGGAAGAGAGGTTTCATTGCTATTTTAGGCAAGTGTTGGAAGAAATGCCCATTTCAAACTCATATTTCAAGAGCATTAATGTCACATATATATGATATATGACTTTGCTTGTCATTGACTCATGGGTTTTTGATGTATTTAATATTCCTTTATTAGATATCTAAACTACAATATTTTATATGAAATTAAATCAATGGTAGCATGGAAGTCATGTAAATATTTTTAGCGAAAAAGTTGATTATCTCAACCCGAACCAACTCTATAGGAAACCCGTACCTAGAAACCACATGTGAGAAGGCATTTCAGAGCTGACTCAACGGTTGAGGTTAGCAGAGGGATTCAAACCCGTCTCCCGCATGATTCAAACTTGAACCTGTTGTGTTTTTGAGCAAAGTCGCTCCGCTGTTTTGTCAACTTAGCTACACGTCCAAAGGCGTCATGCAAATATTTTTATCTTAATGAATTTTGGTTTGTTCTAAATGAACCTCCCTCGTATGTGTTACTTGATCTTTCCTACGGATTTCACAAACATGTAGTATGTCAAAAACTCACCCTTCTATTCTTTCACATTTTTAATACTATCTGTGTCTTGCCGTGACCTTCTCTTGAATTATCAAAACTCCTGTCGCTCCATCCCCGCAGGGGCAGAGTACCCGACATTGTCTCGTCTGTGCTACTGGAGGCTCCGGGGAAGTCGAAATAGGAGAGCACTCATATTGGGATGAGCTTACTACTTAGATGTTTTCAGCAGTCCGCTCTGCACTTGGCTACCCAACGTTTATTCTGTAAAGAGATTCAGATGGCTGGAGCTGGATACTTTCTATTTTTCTGCTTTAGTTCTTATTTAGTGTAACAATGATTTTCTTCTCTGTTAGTGTGACAAATGCCCAGTTATTGATAAACAGTCTGTCAGCTTACATGTTGATTTTGATTTGGTATTTCTTATATGCTATCAACAGTTATAATGTAACCAGACAATTTGCTATCAATCTCATTCACAGTTACACAAAATAAACATGAAATAAGAAAAAATAAATATTTATAGAAAAAATAAATAAATATTATATCCTTAGGCTGGGAGTGGGAATTAAAGTCTTTTGTTTTATTGTTGTATCATGCAACATGGATGTGGTTTGCAGGTTATTCATTGTGAATTTATGAGGCCTCTAATTCTACATTTCCCCATGCTTTCTAGATATGCTTTTTTAGTGGTATATGAAGTAGTAACCACATTCACATCATATATCAATATTTTATTATATAATATCATTAAATAACTTTAACACCAGGAGGAATAAAAATTCCTTTATGATTGTTATCTGTAAAACAGGTGATCGTTCTGGGATTAGTCGATTTGCATAGCGGATTGGATATCTAGGTTAATAAAAAATAACTTTAATAAATTGTTTAAAATAAAAAATTAAAAGTCAAAATCTTCAAAAAAAAATTATATTTATCTCCAACAGTTTTTTCATTTTAAATGTTACAATATGATTTATATTATTAAAATATTTAATACCTTTTGTAAAATATTATTTTTTTTCTCCTATACATTTAAATTATGGGATCCTCATTGAGGGTTGGTTCACGTGAGACAAGATTATTTTCGTGAAACATGATTTGTACACTTGAAACTTCACAGCAAGATACTATGAAGGTAACAACAAAAACATTCTGAAGGTTGCCTTCATAGTGTTTTATTGTGAAGTTTCAAGTGTAAAAATTGTGTCTCATGTGTCTCACGAAAACAACCTTGTCTCACGAAAACAACCTTGTCTCACATGATCTCAAGTCTTCTCATCGGTATGAGGAATAGAAAATAATTTATCTTTTATAGGTAATCATTTTTTTTTAGTTCTCCAAATTTAGAGAATTTCACGTGTTCTTTTCTATTTTCTTCATTTTGGAGAAGGTTTTGAGGAATCTGTTGAAGTAAAAATTTCCAAAAAAACTCGATTTTGGAGAATCTACTAAAAATTATGGTGGTTGTAAGTATAATTTTTAAATAGAAAATTGGGTTTTGGTAATTATTAATGTCACGTTAATACTTTTTTATTATGTGACAGTGAAAAATAAGAAATTGCTATATGTCATATTATGTTTTGTAAAATATGTTTATAAGAAATGTATGAATAATTTATTAAATGAGATTTTAATTAAATTCAAAAATGTATGTCGGTATAAAGTCATTTTTTCTTTAATAAACAAAAGATTATGAATATAATGAATATAATAGAAAAAACTCATTTAGGGTGCATTTGGTTTGCGGGAATGTTTTTGAGGGATTTGGATTCCCTTGAGGGATTTGGATTCCATGGAATTTGGATTGGATTGGATTTGAAATTCATTCCTCTGTTTGGTTTGTAGGATTTGGTTTTTAATACTTCGTATAATTTTTTTAACCTAATCTGTGTTCATGAGATTTCAACCTAATCTGTCAAAATTGAAGGATTTAACCTAATATGTGTTCATAGTTTAGAGAGAAATCCAAAAGGGGAAAATGATTTACCTGTTGACGATAGGCGACGGAGACGAAGGGCGACGGCGACGATGGCAACGGAGACGAAGGGCGACGGCGACGATGGCAACGGAGACGAAGGGCGACGGCGACGATGGCAACGGAGACGAAGGGCGACGGCGACGGTGGCAACAGAGACGAAGGGCGACGGCGGTGGCAACGGAGACGGAGGAGACGACGATGTAATATGTGATGAAGGGCAAGAATGAAGGATGAAGGAGACAACGATGAATTCGGGCAAGAATGAAATCCCACGGGAATGGATTTCAAATCCCGTGTATTTTCAAAGGATTCTCAAATCCAGTGTTGGTGGGATTTTAAATGAATCCCGGGATTTTAAATTCGACCATTTCTACAAACCAAACGCAGGATTTGAATGGATTTCAAATCCAAATCCCTCCAATTCCTGCAAACCAAACGCGCCCTTAAGGTTATATATCTAAATGATCATATCCGGTGTCAAAAGATATATTTGGTATCATTTTTGTGTGTTTTATAATGTTATCTATACTATATTAAAAAACATTTGACAAAAACTCTTAAAAACCAATTTTTATGCATAAAGTACTGGTTATTAATTTAGATGACTTAAAGTTCAAGATTACAAGTAAATTGTGCGTAAGTACAATTTATTAAAGTTTGTTTTTGAATTTGGTGTAACTAAGTGCAGATAAACATAATAAAATAGATGATAAATATATCATTTTTAATATAAAAAATCTAAAATATAATTAAGATAATTTTTGAGTTCTAACAAAATACTTAACTATTGTCTTTATAAAAAAATGATATTATTAAACTAAAAATAAAAAAATGAGTTAAAAAAATACATAAAAATGAGAAATTTTAAATAGTTAGTTTGATACTAGTATCAATATTTTTTTCAATTTTTTTATGATATATTTATATTTATATTTTATTCAAAAATAAAAACATTATTGTTAATAAATTAGATAAAAATATAAACTTATCCAAAACAACACATTTAGTATTTTTTTTGAGATGTTGATAAGCATATGATTATTTGATTTTCGATTTAAACAGAGTTGTGCAACGAATCAGAACGGATATAGTTTTAAGACATTTCAAAATCGGTTTGGTTCCTATGCCAACAAAAAGACCGTTTTTTTTCTCTTGAAATTTGATTTATAATTAATATATTCATATTATTAAGAAAACTGTTAAATTTTAACTCTAAAATTTACAGTTAAATATAAACCGTATCAAACAAAAAATATACGTCACATATTATTCAGAAATACCAGATACCATATGATATATGCGGAAATTATGGGTTGTTTGGCAGTTGCTGAATGGTTTGATGCGGAATGATTAAGTGGCCATAATGATTAAGATGCTCTCGTGATATAATACAAAATGAAATATAATTGTTCGGTAATTGTTTACAATAGAATTAGGGCGCTGAATGGTTAAGGGGGACCCTAGATACAAAATCATTTGTAAGGTTTTAGAACCATTAAGAGACAGTTTTTTTTTTTACCAAACATGATTCACCCCATAACAATTCAAATGTTGCCCCTTAATGGAACTATTAAGAGGTAAACAAACAACCCTTAGTTCTGCGTAAAATAATTTATTGAAAATGTTCAGTGTAAACTAGTTCTTTGGAAAACTAATTTCGATACATTTTTGTTACCGATAGGGTCCCTTGATCTAACTTCATCAACCCACTTCTACTAAACGTCCCTTACATGCCCCTCACCTGAGGGCATTTTGGTCATTCTCCCCTCTAAGTTCCCTTCCCCGTCGTTATTCCTTACCCCTTATCCGACCCCAACCCTCGCCCCCCTCCCAATCTCCTTCATTGTCCATCTTTGCAACGCCTTCTTCCTCTTCCCTTTAGTGGTGAATCTGTTGACCAAGACCTGGGGCTTCCTTCGTTGTTGCCCCCGTTTTCTTGCATATACACATACATCAGATGGGGTTTAGGAATCGTCAACAAATAATTCATGAACCAAAGAAGCGGGGGGTAACGATGCATAATTAAACTAAGTTAGGTTTAGGGTGTGTTTGGTACGCAGACAGGACAATTGTTCAGCGTTTAGTAAGACATGGCAGGACTGGATATAACTGGTTAAAATGACCAATTTACCTCTAGTGACAAAATTGAAACTACGGTGAAGATATGTATGTTTCTTTTGATGGATCACTCTGTAATTTCTATATAACTACAAGGACTAAACTTGTAATTTACTCTTATCAAATGTGACTAGAGATGCAAAATACCATCAAACACGTCAATACAAACCACTGTTCGATCGTTTCGACGGTGGCAAAGAAAGGGGAAAAATGGAAAACCCCAGCACAGTAAAATTGCAAATGATTTAAGGTGATGAACTGTCATATAGCCCTTCTAGAGAGAGAGAATCGGTCTTAGAGAGAAGAAATCATGATGATTTCAGATGCTATGGAAGACGAAGAGAAATGGTTAGCAGAAGGAATCGCTGGAATTCAACACAACGCTTTCTACATGCATCGCGCCCTGGTAATCTATAGATTCATTTCAATTTTGAACTTCTTACTTGATTTGATTTTCAAATTTGATAACAATCATTTCAGTAGCTGCGATTTTTCTCTGATTTTCGTTAATTCTTGATAAATTTTTCATCAGGATTCTAATAATCTCAGAGAAGCCCTAAAATATTCGGCACAGCTGTTGTCTGAGCTTCGGACTTCAAGATTATCTCCTCACAAATACTACGAGCTCTGTAATCTTCTGTTTAACTTTAGTTATAGAATTTATTTGATTTTGGACCAAAAATGCCTTTCCATGATTATGTATGCTTCTGTTCAAAGAATTGGAGATGTAGTTTGACTCTTGTGTCCGTTGGTTAAATCTCAACTTGATAATTGATATGAATTGTATCGATTGTGGAGAAATATTTCATTACTATATCGAGAGTTTTAACAATTAGTACAAATGGGGATCTAGTGGTGTTGATTTGTAAGAGAATTCATTTCAAATCCCAAACAAAGAAGTAAAACCTACAATGTAGGTGGCCAACCACAAACTGACAATCTTTCTAAATCTTAGATTAAATTACTCCAAATTACAATTCATATAATTGACGATCTTTCCTCTAGTTGCGGCATTTGTTTAATTTTATTCTCACTGTGTTGTCAATAAAGAAAAGATCAACATAAAAGAGAGTGACTGAGATTTTTAATTTAATCATTGGACTTGTAGTTTTCTTACCAATTAACCATTTCACTTGTTAAAATGCAAAAAGAACTTTAAAGCATGCCAGAGTGGCTGATGTTAATTATAGTGCTTGTAGTTTATTGCAATATAACTATTGTAAATTGGTTATAACTGCCCACCTTAGCCTACTTAGGTACTCTCTTCTTCTTCTCCTTTTGCATTTTATCCGGTACAATGGTTCATTTGCAACTTAACTTCAAGTATGATAGTTAGAAAACTCATTTGCTACTTAGAAACCGGAAAACTGCACTGCGAGTCATATGAGCTGTTTTCCAACTTCCAAATTGATATCAGTTGTTGAAAGAAAATATTTATAGCTGCAGAGCGCTATATATAAGGGGTACAACTGGTGGCAAAGAAGCTTAGTTATTCATACCAAAAAAAATGAGATAATACTTGAGCTTTGAGATCATGCAGAGTCACTGGACTAATATTTAACTGCATTGATACGAATTCTCTTAATTCTTCAACCTTTATTTAATTACTCACAAGTTCTAGTAGTGCTAAATTGGTAACAAAGTCCGAGTACTAAATGTGACTACTAATGTCAGAATTATACCCTCTTTCTCCTCTTAGAAAGAAGATAGTATCAAATTTGAGTTTAAAATTCATTTTGTAAGTCTATTAATTATTATGTTTGCTGGTTTAAAGAGCTTCAGTTTGTTGTTTGGTTGGCATAATCAGATATGAGAGCCTTCGATGAGTTGAGAAAGTTGGAGATCTTCTTTAAGGAAGAAGAGAGGCATGGCTGTTCCGTCGTGGACTTGTATGAACTTGTCCAACATGCTGGAAACATTTTACCTAGACTGTAAGTGATAATAGAATAAAGTTTCCCTCTCACTTAATTTAAAATCCTTCTATTTGGTTACACTTACACCCATAGCATAAACATAGTAGACAATCACAAGCCGTTGGGTTTACTGGTCATAGACCTGTCAATATGCATGCCAATATTCCTTTGACTGAGGCTTGTAGCCATATCTGTAATCCCTGCATGCATAAGCACTCATGCATTACTGGTAATTTGTGTGTTTAGAGTTGAAGTGTTGTTAGTGCATGGAGCAAAACATATCGACTGTTCCCCACTAGCACATCATACGTTCATGCACAAATTTTGACTGAGCAATGAAGTCTCAATCTACAGTTACAATTTCGTTGCAAAAGATTCTCTAACAATTAAGAGAAGGGCCCAGAAACTTATCTTGAAAGCAGGGAGAAGGGGGTGCAATTGATCTGTCAAGTATCTTCCCTAGATTGATTTCTAGTAAGCATTTGTAGAAAAATTATTGCTATGTCCTGTGTAAAAAAACCTAACTGATATGTTAAAAGAATAGACTATGTTGAAGCTTCACCTGTAATGTGTTCTTAATATCAGGCATTATGTGAATAATTTTTTGAAAACTGTTTGCTCTATTCTCCTAGTGCCCTGTTGGAAAGTAAAATATAAAAAGGTAAACAATACAAACTGCAGTTGTAATCCTTATAACTGGCTCACTAATGTTACAAACCCTGTTTGTTTCACACATGGGTAAATTCAAATGTTGAAACGTCATGGAAGTTGACCTTACTTTTGTTTGAAATTCTTAACTGTGAAAGAAGGATCTTCAAAGCAATAGTAGAGACCTCAAGTATTGAGTTAAAAGATAGTACCCATAGGCCGGTATCAATATTGATAATTTCGTATTAGTAACCGCCCAACCACTAAGTTCAAAATTAATAGAGAACAACAGTAAGTGTACGGCTGATTGATCAAGTTACTATTAACCCTCACTTGGTAACATCAAAGGTCATCGTACATTGTATCGGTGAATTCCCGTACCATGTGAGGTAAGTCAATGGAGTATGTATTTTATTTGAAATTTTTATGAAATGGGAAAGGTTTGTTGTCACCTATCTGCTTTGTGTGAGTAATTATATGAGGTCTTACGGATGATTCATAGAAGTTTTGTTGTTTTAAGTATGTTGGACTCAGACATGAAGAGTCCTGTAACTTGATATAGGTAATACCACTATAGTTAGGACTACTAATTAGTCTCCAAGAAACATCCTTGAAATCCTATCGTGTCTTTTTAAACTAAACGCCATTTATATCATCAATTTTACATTCACACCGGAACTAACTTCTCTAAATATTTTAGTCCCCGTATGTATCAATTGTGTGGTCTTCACAAATTCCTTATTTTCAGCTGCCTTGTGTGCACCTTTTTTATGACTACTTCATGTCACATAATTACATCATCCAAAAACTTTATGCATCAGATGATATTAGGTATCTTAAATCAAACAGGCTAAGGTAAGTACTATGTTAGAGCCGCCTGAAATACTGATTCCTCAACCGGAGTGATCAAATCATGTTTTGATCATGTAATGACCTCTTTAACACATTTACTGATATTGATCTTGAGTAATCAGTATGCTTAGATGTGCTTTCATAAATTTACCTACATGTAAATTTAATCTTAACAGTTATACAGTTGCTCTGTTTTTCTTTTAAATGTATTTATCAATTTAATCTTAACAGTTATACAGTTGCTAGTCCCAGAACTAACAGATCAAGTTCCATGTCCAGTGAAGGGGACAAATATGAATACAGTTAACTTATTGTAAACAGGGTGGTAACTGAGGTTGAAATCTACTACAAGATGAAATTGGGTGTGCATGATTGCACACATGAAATATGACATCACTTGCATGATCTCATGTTACAAATAAAACAATTGCTGCCACGTTTTGCAGCAACTTCTGTTTATCTTTGGGAATTCTTGATATTTGTCTCTCTGATTTATAGGTATCTCCTGTGTACAGTAGGGTCTGTTTACATAAAATCAAAGGAAGCTCCTGCTAAGGACGTTCTTAAAGACCTTGTCGAAATGTGTCGTGGGGTTCAGCATCCCATACGCGGGCTTTTTCTTAGGAGTTACCTGGCACAAATTAGTAGAGATAAGCTCCCAGACATCGGTTCTGAATATGAAGGGTAAGGAAGTTGTATCCTTTGCAATTAATGCTGTGCTTAGTTTTCTGTATATGTATGCCTAGAGTGAGGATGTTCTTACGCTCTGCTTTCATGTGGTTTTGTAATCACATGGTGTATATGCCACTTGATTTATGTGATTAGGATTTAGATCTCATTTCTGCAGTGAGTACTTAGCTTTTCACTTACCGCCTTCCAGAGAGAGGCAACAAAAGTTTGGTTTCATTATTATGTAGTAGTGTTGAGTTCTATCCTTTGTGGAAAATGTATTGCTATTTGTTGTATTTAGATGTTCTTGTTTGCACCTAAGTATCTTAAGCTTCTTCCAGGAACATCTGAACATTGCATATCACTTAATTTCATCTTGAAAGAATTTTTCAGAAGTATTGTCTATGTCATATGTTTCTTCTTCTGCAATTTACAGAGAGATATTTCTTTTTCTTTGTATGCCTAAATCAATGTACTGAATTACTTGTAAGAATGTCACATATGTGTGTATCATTATTGATGCAAGCAGGCAAGCACAACTACATGTAAATGACAATTATGACATGGGACTAGTTATGGTAAAATTATCTTTCTCAGGTTGAGTTGCAGAACTTGGCTTTCTTCTCATCTCAATTTTTAATTAGTATTACGAACTGGATGAAGTAATTTGTTTTTAGTCAACAAGGTAATATTGCTTCTTGTCTTGTAGAGATGATGATACTGTCATGGATGCTGTAGAGTTTGTGCTGCAGAATTTTTCGGAGATGAATAAACTTTGGGTCCGGATGGAGCATCAGGTTTGTCGGTTTGTATCTTTTATTGTTTTATGTTGCCATGTTGTGACATGCATCTCATACTTGCATGACACGGATGTTGTAATGAATCATGAGAGCATGATTTTTCGCAATGCAGGACTAATAGTGCCTGTACTACATTCATTTTGGTGATCCTGAGTTGAGGCCTTCATTTGGGCTTTCTGGTCTGCAGGGACCTGCCAGAGTGCGAGATAAAATGGAAAAGGAGAGGAATGAGCTGCGTGATCTTGTAATACAACACCTTGATTTGGTTAGAGTAGATGGTCTGGTGGTGAAATCGCTGTGAATTTTATCTAAACACGTCTTTGAAATTTCAGGTTGGTAAAAATCTGCATGTCCTTAGTCAGATAGAGGGCATTGACCTTGATTTGTACAAAGAAACAGTTCTTCCCAGGGTCTTGGAGCAGGTGTAGTTTCTAGTTATCCCATGTTTTCATTCTTTATAACACATTAAAGCACACCATTTAACTTCCTATCTGATGTCTGACAGGTTGTCAACTGTAAGGATGAGCTTGCACAGTATTATCTGATGGATTGCCTGATTCAGGTGTTTCCAGATGAGTATCATTTACAGACTCTTGAAACCCTGTTAGGAGCTTGTCCCCAGCTCCAGGTGTGTAATACTGCTTAATGGATTCTTCTTTGTATAAACGAACCTTCTGATTTTTTCTTGCCCTCGGCTTATAACTGAATATCGTATTGGGACTCTGGTCTTTTTTTTTTGGCACTCCTTGTATATAATGGAAATTTTTTTTAGCCAGATTAAAGTCAAATATTATTAGAGCTACCATAAATGGAGTAGTATCAGCACTGGGGAAGAAGGTTCGAGGAGCATTTTGAATTCCAAACTAGTCAAAATTAGCTAATATGCGAAAACTGTAAAATGTAGATGACACAAATTAATTAAGAGTCATGCTCTTGTAAATAAGGCCAATGCATGTGGCATACTCTGATCTGCTACAATTCTGTTGACCACACCTTTATATGTTGCCTTTTAGTGGCCTAACTTGAGGTAGAAAATGTAAAATGAAATGTTCTACTACCATCCTGTAGCACTTACCCTTCAAATTCAGCATTATATTATGGTCAAACGTTGGTTCAAACCCTTTTTCATCAATTAATACAACACGATCAACAAAAAGCATACACCATAACAGCTGTCTGCTCTTTGAGCTGATATGTAACTAGGGACTTTGTTACCTATATATTAGGTGAGAAATGTCAAAGCACGTGTGGCTTTAGCATTGAAATGTAATATTCTTGTCAGTGTCAGTCTTAATCACTGTGTTGTTATGAAGAAGTTTATGATCCTCTTTGTTCCAAGGAGTTAGATAGTGTTTGGGTTGCACATGGTGCATATCTGTGAGTAATGTATGCCTGTATCCAGTACCACAGCAGTAGATTATAGATATGCATGACTATGTTATCAAGTTCTAACTGTGTGAACCCTGTTCAAATTTCAGCCTACGGTTGACATCAAGACAGTACTCTCCCAACTTATGGAGAGACTATCAAGTTATGCTGCTTCTAGTCCAGAAGTGAGTTGCTTATGGGAAGTTGTTTCATTTTTCATGCTTTTGCATTTTGTCGAAGTGATTACTTTTGCAGGTCCTACCAGAGTTCCTTCAAGTAGAAGCTTTTGCAAAATTAAGCAGTGCTATCGGGAAGGTACTTGTGAATCTGTTCACTTATGGACATTTATTCTCTGTTTTTAGTGTTGTCCTTTTGTTGATAATGGACGGTTTTGAGCCAATGTCTATTCATTCTGCTATAGCAAAATATGTTGTTGAATTTGTGGGGAATTGTTCTGGAGTTGTCTGGCAGATGTCACCTGTAAAAATATACTTGCATGTCCTTTTGGTAAGGATGGATATGTGGGGATGAGAGTGAGGAACAAAATGGTGGTGGAGAGAGAGGTGTTCATGCGGGAAGTATAACCAACATTTCCTTCCTCGGAGTTGTGGCCGTTTTATACACTCTTAATTTCCGTACAACTGATTTCGATAGATGGTCTCTTACCTAGAATTACTTCACAACTTTCTGGTTTTCTATCTACATTTATTTATCCTGCATATCTATATGCTGAAGTATAAACTTATTTGGTTATTACTCCTCATGTAATATAATTGGTTAAATATTGTTTATCCAATATAAGATTTTTTCAGAGTTTGGTGCGTGCCACTAATTGAGTGATGCAAGTTATAATTTGACTGTAATACTTTGGTGGCAGGTTATTGAAACTCAGGGTGACATGCCAATTGTTGGAGCAATTACTTTGTATGTTTCTCTTCTCACATTCACTCTTCGTGTTCATCCTGAGCGACTTGATTACGTGGATCAAGTGCTGGTATGTAAATTTTCAAGTTGATGCCAAATCGAATGAGATGTAAAACTTATGTATAATTTAGAGACAAACTGGTTATAAGTTACCTAGAAATATCTGATCAGTCTAACTGATTTTAGAGACACCTTGTATGTTACGGAAGTCATTATTTCGATCCTCTTCAATTTTTCCACCATAAATTAATAATTAAGTTGGCAAAACATAAAAAGAAAGAGAAAAGTACAAGTGTAAATATTTTCTATACCTTATCTTGTGACGATTTCTTGCTCTATCTTGGATAGGGATTATGTGTCAAGAAACTTGCAAACAAACCGAAGCTTGAAGATAGTAGAGCTACAAAACAAGTTGTTGCACTTTTGAGCGCCCCACTGGAAAAATACAGCGATATTGTCACTTCCTTGACATTGTCTAATTATCCTCGAGTCATGGATCACCTTGACAATGGAACTAATAAAATCATGGCTGTGGTTATTATTCAAAGCATAATGACTAACCATGCTTATGTATCATCTGCTGACAAGGTATTGAACATCTTTTGTTGTTTTACTCGTTTCTCATTAAGTTTATTGACCAATATTGGTTTTCCTACATAATATGTTGTTGGTGTACTGTTGCAGGTTGAGGTTCTTTTTGAACTTATTAAAGGGCTTATAAAGGATTTGGAGGGAGATTCGGAGGATGAGGTGCATATTTTAAGTTTCAATTTTCTAGTTGTAGCATGCAATGGTACCGCAACGGTACCAATAGAGCATTATGATTGCTTATTTTTTTGCTCATTTAATAGTTATTGTCTCACTAATTTGGTTGCTGTTGTTTTACTATTCTTTAACTTCTGTTTGTATTATATTTTACAAATGCGGATAGCTTGATGAGGAGGATTTTAACGAGGAACAAAATTCTGTTTCTCGCGTTATACATGTGCTATATAATGATGACCCAGAGGAGATGTTGAAGGTAACCAATGCTCAGTGTCTTTGTTTTTAAATATATATTCCTTGCTGTATTTACAGCGGCGTGCTTGCTGTTTTTATGGTTCTGCTTTGATCAAGTCTGTCAGAGTTGATTGCTTAACGACTATAACTTGTTTCTCTGCTGTAGATTATATGTACTGTGCGAAAGCATATCATGACTGGAGGCCCTAGGCGTCTTCCTTTCACAATTCCTCCTCTTGTGTTTTCTGCTTTGAAGGTATGTCATGACATAATGCAGAGTTGTTTCTCTTAAATTTTCAATGTTTAAAAGTCAAACATCTGTGAAGGACCATTTATCAACGTACTTGGAAAAAGGAAAATGAACCATGTACAGTGAGTCAAGCGTCAGATTGAACAGTGCAAATCGGTGTCAGATGAACCATTATATTTTATTTGCAGTTGGTTCGGCGGTTGCAAAATCAGGATGGGGATGTATCTGGAGAAGAAAATCCAGCCACGCCTAGGAAAATCTTTCAGCTCCTAAACCAGGTGATTTTGAAATATGAAAAAGCTGTTAGAGACTTCAGTTTTATATGGAGATAGCATATCCGATCTCGTATGGCACTCGTATAGTATTCTAGCTACTGTTTGTTACACACAGAGTGCCACCACCTAGTAAGGAAGAGACTAAGAGCTCTATCTTTCTGAAGTTATTTTTTTGAGATGACTGACAAGACCAGTTGTTATAAATATTTAATATTTATATACGGAAAATACTCGTGCATTCTCCTCACCTTTGGTGAGGTTCGAACTTTGAACCCTTGACCTCCTGAGAGGCTGCCTCTACCTTAACCCGGATACTCATCCACACATTGATTGAGCACTCTTTTCAAAATACTTGGTAGAAATTTGTGTTTCCCCTTTCTGGTGCATCTTGTTTTTTTGTTTCAGAAATAAACTTTCATGATTAGATGGAAATTGTTGTGTGTGTAAGGAACAGAAAACAGCAGCACCCGCTATTCGCTAGTCGAACCAATTAAACAAACCTCAAGTTGTTAAATAATAATATGCAAAAGTTGTGTTCGTTATTTTTTTTGTCCCTGCAAGAGTATCTAAAATGAAACAATTTTTATGAAGATGCATTTAAGCAACGGTGAACTTGTTGAATAAGTATACTCATTTTTTATGGAATTGACAAAGGACATGCACAAAATATTTTAAGTTGAGAGGTTTTTATATTCTGAAATGTTTGTAGTGGGTGAGATTTATATTTGTCTCATTGTAAGTAGAGGCCATGATCCCTCCTCCTTATAGAGAACAGCGTTGGCTATACACCATGTCAACTATTCATCAAGAATCACGAGGATCTCGTATCCCAAGGTTATAATTGGATGAAAACAACAATTATGCAATGCATTGTGGTTGCTACTCTTGTAGTCACTGTGGTGTTTTCAGGAGCTTTTACCATTCCAAGGGGCTATGATCATCACATTGGTTTTCCTATCTTCCGCCGTAATAGATATTTCTTAACGTTTGTCTTATTGGATGTAATTTGTTTAATTCAACCTCCATCCTCATCTTTTTATCCATCCTTAATATAGTTGTTAAAAGCGCGCCTAAGGTGCGCCTAGGCTCAAGGTCTTGGGCTTTTTGAAAGTCGAGACTAGGCGTATTCACGAGGTTCACTAAGGTCCTGCGCTTTTGGATGAGGCGCCTCGTGGGGCTGGACGCGCTTCATAAAGAGTTATTAGATATGAAGTCAAACCCCAATATTAAATAGGTTTTCTCATCTTCTTATCTTCTAGACATCTTCAAAGAAGAGTTATTAAATAGATGACATAAGTCAAACCCTAATATTAAACACCCGGTTCTTATAACCTCAAGCCTCTTTCTCTATAAATATCCAAACCTTAAAACTTCTCCCTCATGGCTTATGCAAACCCTTCTCCCTTCTGCCTCTATCTAAGTACTGTTACTGTTGGTTGCTGCACTGGAGGCTTGTACTTGCTATATATTTGAGTTGTGTGTAATTGTGTGTGTGTAGATAACTATATATATATAAAAGATGCTCCATTCCTGAGGCCCGCTCCTCACGGCTAGGCCCCGGGACCCCTTTGCGCCTAAGTGCGCCTTGAGCCTTTAAGAACTTTGATTCTTACTACTCGTTACACTCCAAATGATTTATTGCAACAAAAAGCTTGATGATAGTGTAGTAACGTTTTTTATGCAATTAAGGAAACATACCATGCCAATCAAGTCTTTGGAATAACATTACATTTTAATTTATGTAGAGGTTTCTTCTTGATGCATCTAGTTGTTATTAACTTTCTCTTTTGTTCCATAACACAATTCATATTGCAATGTACCGTAGCAGTTTGTAAAGAATCATGCATAACGTATCTCGATCCATATTCTAATGACATGATACGATTCTAAGGTTGTTGCTTTACCAACTGGGCTCTGCCATGGATCCCCATCACATTATGTCAATATCTCATCAGTTACCCTTTGGTTTATAACATCAATTTTGTACTTTTCAGATAATCGAGGCACTTTCATACGTTCCATCTCCTGAATTGGCATTGAGGTTGTACTTGCAGTGTGCAGAGGTAAAATCTTGCAGTTCTGCACATTTTGGTACTTCTTTAAAATTTCTACAGCCAGCCCCAGGAGTTGAGGTATAAACTTATATGTTGAAACCTTAAGGGGCGGCTCAAGCGGCAAACAATCCCTATATAGGTTGTCAGTTCGAGTCTCCTCAGGGCCATTGGGGATTTTTGTGGCTGTTATCTTCAGGGCCACATGGGATTAGTCAAGGTGCGCACAAGCTGGCCCAGCCACCCTCCCACGGTTACAAAAAAAAATACTTTTGAGATTATTTCACAAATCTTTGGTGTCTCTCTATATTACCAACTAGGTGCAGACCCTAGTGGATTTACCCAACAACCTTACAATCAATGAACCAAAACATATCACACGACTGTTCTCAAGACATTTTTACCTCTTTTCTGTGCAGGCTGCCAATGACTGCGATCTGGAACCAGTTGCTTATGAATTCTTCACTCAAGCATTTGTTTTATATGAGGAAGAAATTGCGGTAATTACTCATTCTCTTGAACCTGCATAAAGAAGCTACTATGGTAGAATGTTTTTATTTTCGGAAATGGTCAACAGATGGATGCTCTGAGGTATCTGAGGGTGCGCTCGCTATGCGAGACAAGACAGGACAGCACAAAAACTTCTTGTCCCATGTTTGACACAATATTAGACTGGGACAAGACAGAACCTGAGTGGGACAAAAATGCATTTTTTTTCCTACCAAAATAGGTGGGACAAGATTGGTAAGTTACTAAAATACCCATGTCGAATTAAGACCCTAAACCTTTCACAATTTTTTCACCGACCTACCTCATTCTTGCCCGCCCAATCTTGTCTGTGTACCGAACGCACCCTGAAAGAGTTGAATCATCCGCTTATACCGTTGGGCTAATATCCAATTGGCGACTGGTAGAATTAATCAGTTACATGGTGACAGGACTCCAAAGCTCAAGTGACTGCAATTCACCTAATAATTGGAACCCTTCAGAGAACAAATGTATTTGGTGTGGAGAATAGGGATACCTTGACACATAAAGCCACAGGGGTAACATAATTTGAACCCTTCAGACGATTATTGTATTTGTTCCCTTCTCACGAACATTTAACCAATAAAACGTTTTTCCGTATTCAGTATTCAGCCAAACTTCTAAAGAAGCCGGATCAATGCAGAGCGGTTTATGCATGTTCACATCTGTTTTGGGTGGATGATCACGATGGAATCAAGGATGGAGAAAGGTCTGCTTACTGCTCATCTCGCTAATTCTATGGCTGTTTGCTCTTCTTTTATCGACATTTTGATGCTATCTTTGTATCGTTGATTCCAGAGTCCTCCTTTGCCTTAAACGTTCATTAAGGATTGCAAATGCTGCACAACAAATGGCAAGTGTTGCACGAGGTAGCAGTGGCCCTGTTACTCTCTTTGTCGAAATACTCAACAAGTATGTTCACTCGTCTTTCACNCCCCAAAAAAAATCACGTCATAACCGCCTGGCCAATGGAAGCCTCTAACCTTGGTGTTTCCAGGTGTGGGCGTTTTTATTGGTTGGGACGGAAACTGCATTTAGGATAAGAAAAAATGCATCAAAAAATAACAAACTTTGTGTTAGTTCCAATTTAGTTCAATGATATTTTTTTCTCAACTAGTGTAACAAATTTTTATCGAACTTTTTGGGCTAACTTTCCCTCTTTCATGCACTTTTTTACAAGTTGGGTGTTTTCATGGAAACAGTCGTTCTACTCTTTGGATAGAGGTCATGTTTGCATAAATCTTACTCCCAAAACCCCACGTCCGGAAATACTTGTTTTACCTGATAAACAAGTTTTCAGCCTATGTGACATCGTTTGACTTTAATGTACATTTTTCCATGTAATCAACACTTTTTTATGACTTGACAACCACATCATCAATAATTATAAAACCTATTGGTTACGGTCAAAATATGTACGAAACAGGAATAATCGAACGTTTGTTACACTAATGAAGAAAATAAAAATTCATCGTTACAACCACAATGGTACCTGATTGGTTTGAGCTTGGCTCCAAAGGTCAAAAGTACCAGGAGGTCCCAGGTTCAATTCCAAGGAGGAATAAAAATCCCCTTGTGGTCACGGAGGTTCAAATGCGGTGACTCCGGGCTATATGCAAGACAGGTGGTCGCCCTGGGATTAGTCGGCTCGCATAGCGGGTTGGATATCCAGGTTAATAAAAAAAATCATCGTTACACTAAATAGGAACTAACGCAAACTTCATTGCATTTTGATGCATTTTAGCCTGCTCACATCACATGTACATAACACTCCGACCAGGTACCTCTATTATTTCGAGAAAGGCAATCCACAGATAACGAGCGCTGCAATACAAGGGCTTATAGAGTTGATCAAAACCGAAATGCAAAGTGACACGGTAACACCCGATCAAACTTCGGATGCTTTCTTTGCTTGTACCTTAAGGTACATTCAGTTCCAGAAACAGAAAGGTGGAGCAATGGGGGAGAAATTTGATACCATTAAGGTGTGATCTTTTCCAACTATATTTTACTTGCTGCTTCTTTTTTTGTTGTTGATTTACATATGGGCAAAGGCAGTTTGGTGTGATTTCACATGTTTGCATTTCCAGCAATTGATTTTGCTTTGCCTTCTTATGGTTTGTACATGTTTATATATTTGTATTTACTGCATACATACTAATTAATTGGTTAACAAATGATTACGCCTCTATATAAATATATATACATTCATACATAGAGTCAAGTTCATACAAGAATAGTAACTAAATAAGAGAATAAGAAAACGGTCGAATCACATGTGATTCACACACCCTTTCGTTGACCGTTAGGTGGAAAATTATTAGGTTCATATGGACGAGACGCTTTTGTGTGAACTCTCTTGTTTGGATTAAGGGACCAAAGATTTCTACATATGGCGGGCAAGTAGGTTTAAGGCTTGGGACCGGTCACAAGGGACTTGGGGGATGTTTGGTTATAGGTATTAAGTAATAATTAATGAGAATGAAAATAAAAGAAATTGTTTGGTAGTATATAGTATAATGAGTTCATTCCTCCAGAAGCCCAAATTTTCATTACAAATTAAACTGGGGGAATGAAAATTCATTCTCATTTTCATTCTCATTTTCATTCCCCAGTATAAACCAAACAACCCCTTAGATACGGTTGCCAAAAGTCCAATCAATTATGAATTTTTGAGGTTGGAACGGTTAAGGGACCGGTTGCTGACTTAGGGGCCGTTTACCAAACACTTATCCGGTTAGTGTTTACCGGTAAAATTTAACACTATTGTTTATTTACCAGGTAAGATTTTAGTTCACTAAAATGGTATTGTATGCAACAATTTACTCGGTAAGCGCTTACCATGGTAAGAGGAGTCGTCTTCACTTACCGGGTAAAACTCTCGGTCATTGTCTCGCTCTTACTGTGATAAGATTCTTGGTCTTTATCATATTCATCCGGTAAGATAATGTGACTTGGTGTTCACTTACTTTAGTAAACGTTTGGTAAGCAATCCCTTATTGTGTCCCTTATCCAAGGCCTTGTTATCTTGTCTTATTTACTGGATGGTCATATCATATTTTTTTTCTTGGACCATTTTTGTCATTTTGCTCCAATATAAATGTGTTTAGTTTTGTGGTTATTTATATAAATCAAAACTCAAAATCAAGCAATTGTCAAAAAAATTGAAGTATGCTTTTTTTGTGTTTTAGTTATTGAAAAATATAATATTTGATTAGAGTAAACAAAATATTTTTTATAATAAATAAAAGAAATGTTTAATAAAACTAAGTTTATCCAACACAAATTTATAAAAAGGTTAATAAATATTAAGTCTTATTTTATCAAAACATTAAAAATAATTAAAAACAACTAAAACTCGATTAAAGGAGATGAAACCGTTGATCATTTCATAAAACATATATGCTTGACCTTTCTCGATACAGAAGAGCACACATGCCATAGGTAACGGCTCTTATGCCTTCATGGACTCGCTACCCATCAAACTCCGGCTCAAATGCAAAAAGCAACGAATTGAGCTAACGGGTATTAGGTACCGGTTACAATGTTTATGATTTTTTTCGAGGGGCCGGTAATGGCTATGATTGGTTGTGGTAGGATTGTTAAGGATTCAGTCATATTATGATCGAAAAAAAAAATCAAAATGTGAAGATATTTAAAGATAAAAATGTTAATGATACAAGAATAAATCTTGATTGCAATTTTTTTTTAACCTGGATATCCAACCCGCTATGCGAGTCGACTAATCCTAGGACGACCACCTGCTTTGCAGATAGCCTGGAGTCATCGCATTTGAATCTCCGTGGCCACAAGAGGATTTTTATTCCTCCTTGGATTTGAACCTGGAACCTCCTAGTATTTTTTACCTTTGTAGTCAAGTTTAAATCAATCAGGCACCAGCGCACCACACCCTTGTGATTGATTGCAAGTTGAGATGATGTAATGGATAAAATTAAATATAAATTGTTTTTTTTTTTTTAATTACTACTCTTTTTAATCTAAACTGAACTCAGATAAATATGACCACAAAGTGAAACAAATAATTCCAAAAAAAAATATTTCTTCAATTTAACATTTATATTATTATATTTTTTTTCATTTTTCTTACTTTCTCAACTTTTTAATAATTCTTAGGGTCTGTTTGGTTTGTATAATTGTTTTAGAGGGATTTGGATTTTATGGAGAAATTTATATTGAAATGGATTTGAAATCATTTGTGTTTGGTTTGTAGGATTTGGAATGGAATTGGATTTCATTATTTATAAAAGAACTATAAAAATAATTAAATTATATTTTTATTAATCGATTATTACAAGACAAATGTTTTTAATATTTTTTTAAAACCTTATTTCATACAATCCTACGAAATCTTGAGCACGTCCTAAGGATTTTAAAAATCCCATGTTTGTAGGATTTCAAATCTGGACAATCCAACAAACCAAAGATGAAATTGTAATGGATTTGAAATTCAAATCCTCTCAAATCCATTCCATTGCCACAAACCAAATAGACCTTAGAGTAAATCATGATTTTCATCCTTCTGATTTATTTATAATTTTGATTTCCTTCCCTATAGTTTAGAAATTACGATTTTTGTCCCTGTGAGATTTGCAATTTATGATATTATCGTTCATCGACTAATTTTTACCTTTTAAATGTAAGGGGTAAAAACAGTAAAGAATTGTAAACCACGAGGATGCAAACAACTAAAGACGAAAACATCAATGAATTACACACCATACGAATGAAAACCGAGATCTGTAAACTACAAGGCAAAAATCATAATTTTCGACATACCAAAGAAACGAAAAAAATAGTTTACTCTTTATATATGTGTGTGTGTAGGGAAAGGTTCAAACGAGAACACTTTCACTTTACGAGAACGCGAGAACACCCTTTTACTATTGACAATCACATGTGATACTATTATTCAATCACATATGATACACAAGTGATACTAAATAAGAGACGCGGGCGATTTCGATGCAATTTTGGTTGCGGGTCAAGTCTCCCTTACACTACTAATCCTCATCACAAGTATTATCACATGTGATAAGATTGTTGTTGATATGATACCATAATCCATCAAAACCATCACATGTGATGCTAAATCATAGACGCAGACAACCTTTGGTGCGGCCTAAGTCGTAGAACACGTCGTCCGTACATCACAGGGTCCCCTCACACGTATTATCGCACGTGATAAAGGTGTTCTCGCATTCTCATAAAATAAAAATGTTATCGTTTGAATATATATATATATATATATTATATAGTGAGAAGAAGCAAATCCCATCAACCAAAACCATGAAATCATTGAATATAACAAAAACTAAATAAAATAAGACATGAGCACATGGTGTTGGGAGGCACCATTATTGTAAAAGTTGCTTTCTATTAACCTCCTCTTTTTTAGCCACAAATGGAACCACTCTTTAGTCTCTTTCCTTGACCCTCAAAGGGCCCACCCTAAAATGGCTGAATATTCAAATATAAGGACAAAAAATAGTATATTTTATTTTCAAATTAAATTATTAAATAAATAATCAATTCCCAAAGTAGAATGATGACAAAAACAAAATAATTAGTATTTTAACTCGGGGTGTTTATGGGTTTGATTGATCAGATTGAAAATATTTGAACAATTTAATCTAATGCTTGCAGTTTAAAATCTTAATCCAACCCAACCCAACCCAAAACTAAGTGCAACTCAAACCGTATGGGTTGATCGGGTTAATACTTTGGCACATTAAAATATTTTTCTAAGTTTGAATATGTTATTTCTCTACTCATAACTAGTGTTCCAACCGCGTGTTGCGCGGTAGCGATAATACCATCTTCAAAAGGAATGTTTGTTTAAGTTCGTTCATTTAGCATCTTAACAAACGAACATGAACAAACACATTTTTTTAACGGACGAACAAAAAATACAAATTTTTTTGTTCATTTTGGTCATTTAATTAACTAACACGAACAAACACATTTTCTTAATGAATAAACAAAATTACAAAGAATTTCCATAAGTTTATGTTTGTTTAGCATCTTAATCAACGAACAATAACAAACACATTTTTTTAACAAACGAACAAGAATACAAAAAAAAATCGTCTTTTACCATTCTTTTGTTCGTCTAAGTTAAACAAACGAATACGAAGAAAATTCCATTCGTATTCGTTGATTACGTTTACAACCATAGATAGGGCTGTAAACGAACCGAACGAACACGAACAAAGGCTTGTTTCATGTTCGTTCGTTTAACTTAACCGAACAAACAAATGAACACGAACGGTAAACGAACGAAAATATTTGTGTTTGTTCGTTTACAAATCAGGTGTGTTCGTTTATGTTCGTTCCTTAACATGCTAAACGAACGAACATAAATGAACGAGCTAAACGAACATAAATGAACATGCCTAAATGAACATAAATAAACGAACATCACTACATGTCATTATATTAACTATTACACACCAATTATCTGGAGGCTAGGGTTTTGGGGGAATAGTGAAAATGTAAAATTTTCAAATAAGACAAAACGACGATAACATTTAAATCTAAATAAATCCAAAAAATTAAAACTTAAATAAATATTATTTGAATTCAAACTAAACAAATAAAAGACTATATATTAAATTATATATATAAACGAACATAAATGAACGAATGAGACTCTTGCTCATGTTTGCTCGTTAATTAAACGAATAAAAAAATGGTTCATGTTCATTCATTTATTAAATAAACGAACTCCTGCCGAAGGGTTCACGAACAATTCGCTGAACATTCAGTTCGTTTACAATCCCTAGTCATAGATCTGAGGCTCCTAGGGGCTGTTTGGTAATTGCTGAATGGTTTGGTGCAGAATAATTAAGTGGTCATAATGTTTAAGATGCTCTGATGATATAGTGCAAAATCAAATATAATTGTTTGGTAATTTTGTACAATGAAATTAAGGCTCTTAATGGTGAAGGGAGATTCATGATACAAAATCATTTAGAGGATTTTGGAATCATAAAGGGACAAACTTTTTTTTTTATCAAACAAGATTCATCTCTTAATAATTCATATGTTGTTTTTTAATGAAACTATTAAGAAGTAAATAAATAACCCTTAATTTTTTGACATAATATTTAATATTATATAAGAAATATAATAATCATGTTTAAATTGGATAACAAGAAACATCCCCTTCTCATTGAAGAAGACAAAAAGCTTAGTAACGCTTTAATGGTGTCCAAAAATCCAAATTGGTGGGAATCAAAACCAGATATTTATGGCGACCCTCTCTCTCTCTCTCTCACACACACACACACACTCTCTCTCTCTGCCTTTTCATACAAAATGGGAGCACAGAAATCTCTGCCGACACACAATAACACCCACCAAATCCGTTTGGTAATAGATCCAAAACCATCTATCCATTCATTCTTTCCTGCTTTTTTATAAACTATTTAATAATTGAATTGAATTTCTGACGCTCCACACGATTTTGGGTTTGTTTGTTCTTCCCTCTCAGATTCGTCTTCACTGAGCAATCGTAACTCATTTGTACAAGTTTCAGAATGTTTCATGAGTAGATCAGTTGTATTTCTCGACGATTGCGATCAGATTATGGAATTCTGAAACGTATCCTGTTCGTGATTTTGGGGGGCAGAACCACGAGTGAAGATGGGTGTAGTGAGCACCATTTTGGGGGCATTTGGTTTTGGAATTGGGGTTTCACTTGGGCTTGTGATTGGCTACTACTTCTTCATTTACTTCCAATCATCTCATGTCGAGGTTTGTAAATCATTTTTTTCTGTTCTACAAACTCCATAAATCTGCTAATCATTCTGTTCATGGAGAAATTGTTGACTCTGAGTTGAAAATGGTGAATTATATGCAATTAAATACTCATTTTATGTTTCTGTTTACTTTGATATCAAAGAATCCGAAAATACGCCCTTTGGTTGAACGAGATTCGAAGTCTCTGCAACAGATGCTTCCTGAGATACCCATGTGGGTGAAAAATCCTGATCATGATCGGGTATGTTCTTGCTTTTAGGTCAACTTTTGATTATGAAATTTGAATCTAGTACTCTTTCAATTCAAAGTTAATCTAAAATATTTCGGTTTTTAGCTTCAAATACGTAAATCTCAATACCCTTTTCATGGATTGATCTATTTATCAAAGTGTTTTATCCAATTTAAAATTGAAAAGAAGCTTATTTGACTTTGGAAAGTCAAATGTAAATCCTTTTGGGTTTAGTTATTTACATCCAAACTTATGGTTTGTGCAGGTTGACTGGCTTAACAAGTTTGTTGAATTAATGTGGCCATATCTAGACAAGGTAATGTGGTTTGAATACAATTCTTATGATGATAAGGGTGCGGTTTGGTACTCGGTCCGGACTGTATGAGACTAGTGGAGCGAGAGTTTAGATTGGGAAGGTTTTTGTTTGGAAGGGTATGTTGGAAAAAACTTGGTAAAAGCTCTCCGTAGAAGCTTACTGAAAGTACAGTGTCTGTATAATTAAGCCACTACCAAACAATCATGTATATTTGATTGAATAAGTTGTGAGTTCCATTAAGCTGCTAACAAACAGACCCTGAGATACGCGGGTGAATTGTGGAAGGTTGTAGGGTTTTAATTTGACATGGTAGATTAGTATTTTACCAATCATGTCCCATCTTTCTCATTTTTGTTCCACTTATTTTGATGTTCCATTCATGTCCTGTCCCAATTTAAAGTTGTGCCAAACATGGGACAATAAATTATTATATTGTTATGTCTCATCTTATCCGGATGAGTACCAAACGCACCCATTATTTTTGAAGTATGTATCATTTATATAAGACAAATATTTGCGAGCGTTGCTCATCTTTGGTAAGGTTTGAACCCTTGATCCCCGAGAGGTAGGGTTCTACCGGTAACCCTGGTACCTCTGGGCCAATGACCCTTTGGTTCAAGATTTGATCCTCAAGTAGTGATGGTTTGAAACATTTTGTAGGCGATTTGCAAGACTGTGAAGACGATAGCGGAACCTATTATAAAAGAGCAGATTCCAAAGTACAAGATTGACGCGGTCGAATTTGATTCACTTACTTTAGGCGACCTCCCGCCTACATTTCAAGGTTGTGGACCGTCAGTAGTAGTCTTGATTCGCTATCTTGCATTAAGAACACACGCACAACGGTTAATGTACACAATTTATGTCGGAATGGTTTCAAAAGTGCATGTCTTAAAACACAATTTAAACGTCTGCTAATCAAAATTTGGACGGTGGTAACTGATTGTTTACCTCTGTAACATTTTTATGGTCGTGTTTTGCTTGTTTTCAGGAATGAAAGTATATACCACGGACGAAAAGGAATTAATAATGGAACCTTCGTTCAAATGGGCTGGGAATCCTAACATACATGTAGCTGTTAAGGCGTTCGGGTTGAGACCCACCGTTCAGGTTTGTATGTCTGTTTACTACACCCTAAATCTTAAACCCTAAACCAAACGAACCCAATATATCAGGTGGGGTCCGGAGGCAGAACTGTCTTCAACCCCCATAGAATAGAAAATATGTTTTCGTGAAGACATCTTGGTTTTTCTTTTCAGGTGGTTGATTTGCAAGTATTTGCTTCGCCTCGTATCACCTTAAAGCCATTGGTTCCGAGCTTCCCTTGCTTCTGTCAAATTTATGTATCCCTCATGGAGAAGGTAAAAATCTTGTGTGTTAGTGTAAAAAATAGTGTTATTCATTCGATTTAAATTATCACAAAATTTTACAACTGAAATGGTGTAAATTTTGGTGTTAACCATCGGAGATGCTTTTACTAAAGCATCTCCGACAACTATTCTAAAATGGAGAAAATCGAGATTTTCAGGGATTTTTGATCAAGTTTTTTGCTTCAACAGATTATTCAAAATCTTTCTCCAAAATGGAGAGCTCCCAAAAAATGATTAATATGAGTGAGAAATATTTTTTTATTATATTCCCATCAAGTACCATGCTGATGTGGTGAGTGAAGTGGTATCCAACTCAGTATTATTTGTTGAAGAATTAATCGGATACCACATCACTCGCCACATTAACATGGTAACTGGTTAATGCTTCAACCGAGTACTTAAATGTTTAAAACTTTACATCTTAAGTACCAAAATGGAAGTTTTGAAAATACGTTACCTAAAATAGGAATCATGTTAAAGTACGTTACTTTTTAAGAAGGGTATCAAAAGTCAAAAGCTCTAAAATAATATTAATAAAATATTGTTAATTATATTCAATACATTTAATAAAATATTATTTCTCCTTGTATACATTTTACTTAAATGTTTCTTTTTTGTGGGAAAAATTAAATGCTATTTCTTGTTTTAAAGATTCCTATAAATTTCGAGATTTTCAACCGTCTTTCTTTTCTCTATTTTAACATATATTATAGCATAGCTGTCGGACCAAAAATATATCTTTAATCTCTATTTTAGCATAGCTGTTAGATATGCTCTCGTTATCTAACTTCCTTCAAATTTTCAGCCTCATGTTGATTTTGGAGTAAAACTACTCGGGGCCGATGTTATGTCGATCCCTGGTTTGTACAGATTCGTTCAGGTATATTTTCTTCGATCCAAAATTAATTCGAGAATCAGCCGAAAGGTCAAAACTTATACGATCTTACACACGTTTTCCTTCAGGAAATGATCAAAGATCAGGTCGCCACTAGGTTTTTGTGGCCGAAAACACTCGAGGTACCCGTGCTCGATCCTGCAAAGTAAGTACCGGTTAATCTTTACATATGTGTTCGATACAGGACATGACAGTAAAAAACTTCTTGTCCCACATTTGGCATAATATTAGATTGGAACAGGACAAAAATGCATTTTTTTTCTGCCCCGTCAAAATAGGTGGAACGAAAATCAAGGGAAATGGACAATATTAGTAAATTACTAAACTGCCATGTACAATTAAAACCTTGAAACATCCCATAATTCTTTCGTCTGCTTGACTTTTTCCCGGCCAAGTCCTGCATACCAAACGGGTCCTTACGGTCGTAGAAAACAATATAACCGGCCATTTTGATGACGATCTATTGAAAATCATGGTTTCGAGATCTTTTTGTGGATTCGAAACCTGAAAAAGCTTGAAATTTGCAGAGCGATGAAGAGGCCAGTTGGAATGCTGAATGTGAAGGTTTTGAGGGCAATGAAACTTAAAAAGAAGGATTTTATGGGGGCTTCTGATCCTTATGTGAAATTGAAACTTACAGAGGAGAAGCTTCCATCGAAGAAAACTTCGGTCAAACACAAGAACTTGAATCCCGAATGGAACGAGGAGTTCAATATGGTCGTCAAAGACCCCGAATTGCAAGCTCTTGAGATCGTCGTCTATGATTGGGAACAGGTATATTTTTGTATTAGGATATGTGGAACTCCTTCTACTTCTCCGAATACACACACACAAATATATATAGACGAAGAATCGTGCGAGGATGGAAGTTACAGTGAGAAGCGTAAGAAGGGATATGGACTCATGATCACTTTTAGTCTCATCCCCACCCATGAATTGCGCTTATCACGGGAATTGACCGGTGTATCTTGGTGCACCACATTAGTTTTGATCTTTAATTAGGATTAATCCAAAGGTGGGGATCCCTTCTTACCCTTCTCACAATCACTTCCATTCTCATCAGAACCCAACCCGACCCTATATATATATATATATATATATATTGAGAACCCATAAAATTGTGATAATCTTGAGAACTGATGCATTGTGCTATTTTATATGTTTCTTTTTCATTTACGGTTTGGATTTAGTGCATTGATTAACATATATTTGTTTCATAACATGTTCGTTTTACAATGAGGACATTTTTTTTATGTGTATGTGAAACAAAATACAGCTAAAAAATTTCGCATTGTGAATGGAATACGTATGAAACAAACACATTGTGAAACAAATATGTTAATCAACATATTAACTTCTAGTCTTAGATGGAAAAATTAATGTGAAACAATACCTTAACGGAAATAGGTCTCACGGTTATCACAATATATTGGGTTCTCAAATTGATTAAGCCCCTATATATGTGTGCGTTTGATGATTCGTGTCTGGTCGACATGAAACCTGTTGAGGCAAAAGAGTGTGTCGAGTCCCTAGTTGTAGCAGATCCTGATTCTCATACCATATTAGGATATGTGGAACTTATTTGAAGTCCCGTATTTAGCCGATGTTTTGCCTAGCGGAAAAGCTACATCTAGTACCGGACCAATGATTTGGTTTGGAAAACGAGCGCGTAACTGATAGAGCTTATTGAATCGTTACTTGAATTAGTTTATTTTAAAGCTATGGTCTTGATCTCTTTTATGAAACTATACATTTTTAAGTTTTGTGGTGAAACACGTTTGATTCTAGGTGGGGAAGCATGATAAGATGGGAATGAATGTTATACCACTGAAAGAGGTAACACCAGAGGAACCAAAAGTTATGACCCTTGAGCTTCTAAAGAACATGGATCCCAACGACGCGCAAAACGAGAAGTCCCGAGGCCAGATCATGATCGAATTGGTCTACAAACCTTTCGCCGATGACAAACTTCCTGCTGAAGCCGAAGACGGGAATATGATAGAAAAGGCACCCGAAGGAACCCCGGAAGGCGGAGGTTTGCTTGTCGTTATCATCCATCAAGCCGAAGATCTTGAAGGGAAACACCACACGAATCCATCCGTTCGTTTGCTTTTCCGAGGAGAAGAGAAGAGAACGAAGGTAATTTTCCAATTATACCCTTTACTATAAGATGGAGAAAATTTATCTCTATTATTAAGGGTAAAATTGTCATTAACTAAACACATTCCTAAAACTGTATTGTCATTTTTATCGTGGACATTTAATTTGGAACGTAGAGAGTAAGAACTAAAGCAAAATTCGTTGTACTTTAATTTTTTCGAAATGTCGAACACCAATCGAAGTGCGATTTGTTGATCGAAATTTCATATTATTTACATTGCATGCAGCCGGTGAAGAAAAACCGCGATCCAAGATGGGACGAAGAGTTTGCATTTACGTTGGAAGAGCCACCGACGAACGACAGGATGCACTTTGAAGTCGTGAGTACGTCTTCAAGGATGGGTCTGATTCATCCCAAGGTACAAACGAACGTATCAAAAAATACGATCTGTTTTATCTGTAACGGTAAAACTGTCTGACTTACGGGTTTTTGTGGTAGGAATCGTTGGGTTATGTGGACATACACCTCGGGGATGTCGTGAGCAATAAGAGAATTAATGAGAAGTACAATTTAATCGACTCGAAAAATGGTAAGCTTCTAGTGGAGATGCAGTGGAGAACCTCGAGTTAGAGGGTGGTCGAAGAAGAAGGGGATTTGAACAGATGTTCTTCGAGATTTTTATTATTTCAAAAGACAGATCAGATACCATCAAATTAAACTGTTTAATGTCACACGACACATCGTTTTTTGGTTTCGGCCTTTTTTTATTGTGTGAAGTTATGTAAAATAAACGAAAACGTTTTCCCCTCGCCTTCATAAGTTAGTAACGACTTGCGAAAGCTTCAATGCTCGTTCTAAATAGGTGTCACGCCTTCGGGTTTTTTATGAAACCTTTTAACATCGATTACTTCTAGCAATGTGTTGTCATGGTAAACTTTCGACATAATGCGTAGTTGTAAGGTGCTAACGGGTTGCAGTTGGCTCATCTGACAAATAAACTAATACATCCTCATTTTTTGTGGAGGTTTGAACTAGGGGTGCTCATGGGTTGAGTTGATCGGGTTGAAGACATTTGAACAACCCAACCTAATGCTTGCGGTTTGAAATTTTTTAACTCAACCCAAACCAAAGTGCAACCAACCCAAGCCAAGCTGTACGGGTTGGTCAGGTAGTCGGGTTGGTCAGGTTGATATTTTGGTACATTAAAATAATCTTCTAACTTTGAATATGTTATTTTTCTACTCATAATTTTTTTTCATCATCAACCATTTGATACAATTTATCCATACTTCTTACGTATATCATATTCAATTAATTTTCTAAATTTACATATATATGTTCACAGTTACTGAACATATATAAGAATGAGTTATATAGAGATGCGAATAGATGAAAATATGCGTATGTGAAGAGCATACATGATAGTGTAATTGTCTAATGTATATATTAATATAAATTCAACAATCTTATTAAAACCAAGAAATAAAAGAGCATCAGGTTCATTGGGTTGGTGTTCAAATAATAGTAACTCAATATCTACGGTTTGACAATTTTATAACTCGAATAGACATCGGGTTGCTTCGGGTTGAGTTATTTCGCGTTGGGTTGAGTCGGGGTGGTCGGGTTTTTTAGCACCCCTGGTTTGAACCCCTGACTTCCTAAGAGACCAGAGACTACAATACAGCTCGGTCAAAGACCCTTTGGTAACTATTTGGTTGTTGAAGAATACAGATTCTAGAGGTTAATGAATCACCGGAAATAAAATGTACATACTCCATATTTTTCTGAGACTGTTTTTTTTTCTTAAATTATGTACATTGTAAAAAGGTTATGTTAGACCCGATTCAAACCCATAAATCTATATTATATCATAAAACATTTGACAAAAACTCTTAAAAATCATTTTTTATGTATGAATTATTGTTTATTGATGTATATTACTTAAAATTCAAGATTACAAGTAAATTGTATATAAGTGCAACTTATTAAAGCTTAATGTTTGAATTCGTAAAACTAATTGTAGATAATCATAATCAATAGAGGATAATCATCTCATTTTAAATATAAAAAAATGTAAAATATAATTAGGATAGTCATTGAATTCTAACAAAATACTTAATTATTATCTTTATAAAAAATTATATTATTAAACCAACAAAAATGAATTAAAGAATTTACAAAAAAAAAAAAAAATTTTAAATAGTTAGTTTTGTACGGTTTGGGTTGGGTTGTGTTAAGATTTTTCCAAACCACAAGCATTGAGTTGAGTTGTTCAAATGTCTTCAACCCGATCAACCCAACCCATGAGCATCCCTAGTGGTGGCGGCCGACACTGATGTAAAAGGTAGTTCTGGGAGAGATGTGGTGGATGTTGTGGTAGTGAGAGCAGTGTTGGTATGCAATGGTAGCGGTAGCGGTGATGTTAATAAGCGGTGATGGTCGTGGAGGTGGTGGAGGACGTTGTTACAGTGGAGGCGGCCGATAATGGCCGACGATGGCTATTGTTGGAACCAGAAAACAAATATCATATTATAGTTATATATTAAAACGAGAGTAAAATCAGTAATAATCTAGTTTCTTGTGTTCATCTTGTTCCACCTATTTTGTTGGAAGCCTGTAACAAGAAAAAACTTTTTTGTTCCATGTTGTCCCTCTTATCTCAGTCCTTATCTCTGTCTCATGATACGTTAAACATGAAACAACGAGTTTTTATTATGTCTCATATCACACCAAACATGGGACAATGAGTTTTATCGGGCAGATGCAGTAAAATTGCAAGTTATAGAGACAAAAGATTGTAGATATAAGGAAAGGAAAGGTGTAATTTTCATTGACTACCTTTTGTTCCCTTTTGCAAATGCACAGCTTTTTACCAAACCAAACTTTAGGTTGCATCTTTCTATGCATGTCTCTTTCCATGTGTGGTTTTTTTTATAATTAAAATGGAATATTTAAATATTTAATATTAGATTTTGTAAGAAAATATATATATAATTTTACTTTTCATCCTTGTGGTTTTAGAAATTATAAATTTCAATCCTGTAGTTTGTAATTTATTGTAATTTTCGTCCCTGAACTAATTTCAACTTTTAAGTACATGGGACAAAAACAGTAAGAAGTTAAGAACTGTAAACTACAAAGACTGAAAGACAAATGAATTGTGAATTATGAGAACGAAAATAAGAATAAGTTACCAAAGGGTCTTTTGCTTAGCGGTATTGTAGTCTCTGGCCTCATAGGAGATCATGGGTTCAAACCTCATTAAAGATGAAGAGAGTGTGTGAGTTTATTTGTTGTATTTGTCGTATATAAATATTGTATTGTAAAAAAATAACAATGAGTTATGAATAAAAAAACAAATATATGTTTTATAAGTATTGTATATTTCATAAGGAAAGTGTAAAAAATCCAATATGTGTTTTATAAGTATTGAGTAAGGTTATTAAATAACGTTGTGCTCATGTACAATCATATTTAAACGACTTAGAAACATACATGTAAAAAAGGATAAACGCCACCTTTTGACTCGCCCCCACTACACCAGCCCCCATAGTTATCATGAGAAGGCAAACCAACTCATGCATCCATTGGCATATGAGAGGTGCTGGTGTCCAACCTCGAACATAGGACCTCACTGATGAATTACACCAACACCCTACTATTAGAACATATCAGTAGAGATAGAAAATATACAGATAAGGTGATAATTTAACAGATAAACACGTATGACGAAATGGGTTGGTCTCAAGCCTCTTGACATCCCAAATCAAGTCGGGTTGGTCATGATCATCTAATAACACATTTCAAACCAATAAAACGGATCTAATGATATTAGTTTGGATCGAACCATGCATACCCCTAAATAGAACCTATCGGTGAAAAGAGACATAATTTGGGTTTTATTTGCAATAAAATAAAAGATTAAGGGTGTAAAATTAAAAAATTCAGAAGTTCAGGGATCGTTTTGTAATTTACCTGAACAAGAAAAAGGAAAGAGAACTGCTGTGGAACGAAAGCAACATTTGCTCCGTCTCTCTCTCTCCTCTCTCTCTGGTCCGGAAAAAGGCAACACACCACCGCACCAGCAGACACAGAAAGTTAGGGTTTCGTGAAGAGAGAGAATTTGACGAACAGATGGTGTAGGGTATTTTCATTATTCAAATTCAAGCTTTTTATAGACAAATAAAGCTAGAGAGAGGGGAAGTTTTAGACCGAGAAACATCGTCTAAGGTAATTGTAGTGAGATACCCAAAGTTTTGAAGCTTTAGTGTTTTCTTTCTAGCTCTCGGTTCTGTAAAGTTCATAGCTTCTACTCGTCTGAATTCCGAAACAGGTAATCGATTGAATTCTGTGTAGTTATTTATCGATTACTATAAGTGTTTTTCTTCTTCTAAACATTGGGTTTTACGGGTGATTTTTTAAAATATTCCAGGATTGATGAAATTTTGATTAATTACTGGAACCCTGATAGGATTACGGTCGTTTCGATAAAATCTACGCAAATTTATGTATGTATTCTGGTGCTAATCTATTTTCACACGCTAACCGGAGATTGAATCTTCTGATTAGGGTTTGGTATCTTGTTAAAGAAATTGCATTGTGGGATTGAGATGTTTTCCTAACGTTACTTTTGCAACTTAATCGAGTGTATTTACTTTCTGCCTTTGTTGAGACAAAAACCTCAGAATATTGACTGTTTTTGGTTGACTTTAGGTGGTATGTAATTAATGGGTTTGTTTGGAGCTTTCACTTTGTTATTTTTTTCTCCCAAATTTAGGTTTTATGGTGCACTTTCTGGGAATCTTCTGATATTGTTTCAGTTCTTTTCTGTTTTCTAATCAGGGAGGTGATCTAACAATGATATGGTGGATTTAGTTGCAATTCAATCTGACATGATCATCAAGGAATTCAATAATATATATCTGGTAATTTTTTGTCTTGTTAATGAATTTTGGTCTATTTCAGGAGCATGTTCAGTGGTTTTTCACTTTTCTTATATAACTTGCAACTGGTGTCATACATGGTATAATGCTTTGATGGTCTAGACAACATATCTCTTGTTTCTAATTTTAGTACAGTTTTTTTTATGTTTTTTCCTAACGGGTATGCTTTTCTAAACCAGCCATTATTATTATTGGTTGTCTTTACTCTTTATGGAAAGCTTTTAGTTTTTGCGTGCTTCCTTCAGATTCAGACAAATAAAAGATAAAATTTGTAGTCTCCAATTGTTGAGTTTGAGGATCATTATTGCATGGTAAAGTTTTGAGGGAGCAATGTAAATCTGGTGTAATCTCGTACGAAGTTTAAATTATTTTGCAATACTCTGGTGGAGGCTTCTTCTTACTCCAATAGTAAAAGGAACTGGCGAGTCTTCCCCCTAGCAGTAGCTCTCCCTTAACAACTAAAAAGCCTTACTTTTGCTAGTTGACTTTGCGACCCATTGCCTTAATATGTTGGTTAAATCCCTCGTGATTTAGCTGCCATCATTAAGTTTGGAACCCTGAACAGGCTGCCATTGATAAGCCGGAGGAAAGTGAACTTTGACCCTGGTTCCTGTGTGGTCTAACGTCTTGGTGCGTATGGTGGTACAGGGAAAGCACCTTTCAAGTCAGCTGAAAAGGAATGAAAAAAAAGGTTTTGTCGTTTCCTCCCGCTTTCGATGACCTGACTGAAGTCATTCCTAGCCACCATACTTTAGAAAGAGTTTGTCTTTACTTACCAGCTTCTCTAAGACATCAATCACTAAACTGAACAAGGTAGCAAAAATCATAGAAGAAGAAAAGTTACATTTTGGGTTTTTGATGTATAGTTTAGTGCCGTGGTAATTTTCTATTATGATAAATAATTCAGCTGAAATATGCTGGGAAGTAATGACTTTGGCGTGTTATTGCTGAACCATCGTATGTACGTTAATATAAATGCATGATCTAAGGCGTCAGTCACAGCTCTCTTAAGGTTTTAGTTTTAGAGAGGCGCCAAGTTGACCGGACTATGTGCTTTTGACCAATTGATGTTGCACTTCTAAACAACATATGCAACATCTTTTTGGGTTTTAATTATATATGATCTGTAGCAGTTGCTTAGATTTTACTTATGAGCTCTGTTTATGATGTTTTGATGTTTAAACTGCTTGTTCTTTCCACCTTGGCATATGAGCTTGACATACTTTACTTAATGCTGTCCCTCTACCCCTCTCCCATTTCATATCCTAGTAGTTTCAAGCTTTTGTGCCTGTTTTTCTTCCTTCCTTTTCTCTACACTTGGTCTCCATGAAGACTTACTATTGAAATGCATATGCGCATCATCAGTTGTCCAAGATTTATTTTCAGTAATTTGTAACATTTGATTTAGATCTGAGTGCAACACACGAATGGATGATCATTAAAAGTGAATTAGGTCTGTACATTGGACCAGTGTTGCACCCCACTGAACTTGAGTAAATTATTTTCGACTTCTTGCATCCGTCCCCTTCTTTCCTAGCCGAGTTTGTTATAGTTTCTCTTATGGAATCTGGCACTTGTATTTTGATTTGGTTTTAGGAAGTAATTGGAAATTATATGTGCAATTGCATATAGAAACTTCGGAAATGAACACCCCAATATTCAGTAAATAAGGCAAGTTGCATGTATAATCTCTCTCTCTCTCTCCCTCAAGTCTTTTTGTTAGCTGATCAGGTAGGTTACGGTTGTGTTGATGACATAACTCACTCATTCATAAGAAATAATCCATATGAGCTCTATAGAAAAGATTGCTTTATACACGTGTGATTTAAGGCTCTGATGAAAGAGCAGGAAATTTTGGATATGGTAGCTTATAAAATATGGGAAAGTAAAAGATATAGGTGCTCGGGTCAGGTTAATAAGTTAATTAATGGGTGAAGATGAGTAACAGGTCAAAAGGGGATGTTCAAAAAGTCTCCTCTCTTGAAATAGGTCAAAATAGGTTTCGGATGAGATGGGTTGGTTTGACCCGCTCATTCATAGACCCCTTCTTTTGATTCATTTTCTTCAGTTCTTTTTCCATCTATTTTATTACAAAAAACGATTTTGGCACAAACAAATATATAGCATAAAAACAAATAAAACTGGACTGTATTAAACAGATATACGAGGGGAGAACATATGGGGAATGATAGTTTCTTAGACACAGTAGATTGTGAAAAGGAAAAGGAAGGAACGGAATGAATTTATAAAAATAAAAAATATTTATAAAATTACACATATACCCATCAATTATATTCCACTATAAAATAAATAAGGGTATATTTCTAAAAATGATATATTTCCTTCCCTTTCTCTCCCACTCAAGAACATGAATTTTTTTTTCCTTTGCTTCACTCCCAATAACACAAACAAAAAAAATACTTTGTTTTCTTTTCTTTTCTTTTCCTTCCTTCCAAAATTCAAGAACACAACGTTAGAGTTTCATCCATAGTTATTCAATGGCTTTTGTGCAACTACGAATTTAGACTTGACATATAGGAAGCATTTTTGGAAGTTTGTTGTGTATGTGTACGGGTGGATTATATTAACATTGGAAATGATGAGCATTTGCATCTATTTATGAGCTTATATGATTATTTTTATTCTCAAGTACAGTTATTGTGGATAGTTAAATGCTAATAAGATTTCATGGCATGATTAATCAACAACCAGTAACTTTTCATTCTTGCTTGTGATAGTTTGTTTTCAATGAATTTTGTTGTGGTTTTGTTAAGCACTTTCTGAGAGTGGTTGTGACGTATGCTAATATAACTATGGGTAGGCATGCCAGAGCCACAATGCTCATCTAGATTTGTGGGCTTGTAATTTGTCCTAGTACTTGGTGTTCATGATATCATTTGTTAAAAAGCATAATCATTAGCTATTTCATTCTCAATGTTTGGATATCTATCTAATTGATGGAAGATTCTAATCTTCCATACATGTCATTTTTGGCATAACCATGGTAATATGTTGTTCCATTTGGACCGTGAGGTTAGAGGCGGACCTAGAATTTTTTTCAAGTGGTGGCACCCTTTGACTATAAGAAACAAATATATGGATATTTTTCACAAAATCATTATTGTTCTGTTGGTTAGTTCATTGCTTTTCGTATGTGAGGTCTTGTGTTCAAGTCTTTTATTGCAATTCTTTAAAAAACATATTAAATCTGAAATTGAAGCTAAAAAGTAAGAAAATGACACTAACAGAATTTGAACACGGGTCTGTGGCGGGAGAAAAGCCATGTAAACCAGATCTACCAAGAGAAACTTGTGTCATCGTTGTAGTTTCAAAATATATATGGTGGCACACAACAAATTGATATGGTAGCACCTTTCACGATCCTATAATTTTTTACACTACGACAGAGGAACGAAATGGTGGCCCGTGCCACCATATTCAGACCCGCCCCTGCTCGAGGTCATAAATGACGTTATGGAACAGTCCCTCAACTAACACGGTTAAAGCTGCAAATGTAGGAATATCCAGGGAAGTATTGATAGAATTAAATTGTTTACACCCTCCTTGAAAATGAACCCGCATAATAAATTTCTTTTACATTCGTAACATTTTTCTCGTATTTGGGTGTAATCAATGGTACACACATTAGTTTTACTGCAGCCTCCTTGATCAGAAAATACCAATTTTCTGTTCCAACTTATTTTCACTTCCTACCCTGTCGTATTCTTTTTGGCCATCATGCTCATTTCTACATTTGTAATATGATTGGCAGGGTATAGAGTAAATCTTTTTACGGCTGTGCTTATAATTACCGGACAACGAAAGGAAGCCTAGTAGCATGCTGCTTGTTTTCTGTTCAGTCTTGGAATTCCCATCTGGCAAGTGAAGCACTATGACACTGGAGGACTTCTTTACGTTAAGTGAGTTGAAAGATGGGCTCACAGCTCCTGATAGAGTTAAGGAGCTCATCACTGTTATGGAAAGGGAGAACGATTCAGTTGTCAAGAATTTTGGTGAAGCAACCAGACAGCGGTCTACCGTCGCAACCACTGTTGCCGCCACCGAGAATAAGAACTGCCTTGATCGTTTTATCCATTTAAATGGGCTCTACTTCATTGATAGGTGGCTCAAGGATGCGCAGAAGCTTGGGAATGATACAGGCAACAGCTTTTTGGAAGAATCGGTCATTGCATTGTTGAGAGCGCTTGAGAGGCTGCAGATCGATAACCAGAGGTCATCGTCTTCTGGAATAGGGAGAACCGTACAGAAACTTGTTGCTCATCGTAGTTCGGTGGTTCGTGACCAAGCTAAAGCACTGTGTGATAGGTGGATGCTTATTCCCGACAATGATGTAGCTCCACAAGATGTCAAAAGCCCAGATGATGCTATTTCTCCGTCATACGGAAATGATAATGATGAGAAGAATGTTGAAAGGCTCAGAGATGAAACGATGCCATTGGTATCTGTGAGTACTGTTCAAAAGGTAATAGTAAACAATGAGACCACAATGCCAGATAAAATTATGGGTCAGGAGCCTCGGGATCATGTTGACCCGTCTTGTAAATCAACGCATGATGATAGAAATCTTTTGGTTAAAGTTGAAAATGAGGGTAACTGTCGGGATAAAGCGGATTTGGTGGAAATGTCTACTTTATCTAGTCCTTCAGAACGAATAGCTTCAAGTGCTGATGTTGACAATGCTTTCGGGTCTTCTATAAAGACTGATCTGAGAGGTGAAGAAGATGAAGATATGGTGGATGACGTGGAGTCTTCAGACCATTTCCGAATGACAATGTCATTGAAGACAAGGAACCAAGCTGGAGTATCTGCCGCCAATGCTTTGCAGGACTCTAGAGAAGCTGAGAGCCTCAAAACGTCTTCAAATTTAGAAAGTGAAAGGGAAGCCGATGATGCAAAGGAACAAGGTGGTGTTGAGAACGCTGGAAATTCAGGAAATGGTTCACATTTCTTCACGATATCAATGAATGCTCGAGGTAATGGTGTGAAGAGCAATATGTTAGATATGGAACTAGACTATGGGATGATAGATCCGCTAGAGGTTGCTAGACAAGTTTCTATCGAGGTGCAGAGAGAAGTTGATTCCAGGGAACGAAGTTGCAGTACTTCTGAGAAAATGTCGGGAGGTGGAAGTGAGAGGCCAAACACTCCGGATTCTACAAATCGTAAAGAAAGTCCGCCTGTTGAGGGCTCTGATAAGGAGGTTATATCTGGATCTGAAAAAATGTCGAGCGGTGGAAGTGAGAGACCGAGTGTAGCAGAGCCTGTGAAAGATGCAGAAACCCTTGTTTCTGAACAAGAAAGTTGTAAAGCTGACATCACAGCCTCTCAAATTTCCGAGATAGCTCAAGAATCAGAAACCAACACTGGAAGAGGCATTTCGGGTTTTGATCTAAACCAAGAGGTCTGTTCTGAAGAAGTCGACGACCCAATAAATCCAGTCTCATCTGCAGTCTCGGTTGTTTCCGCTTCCCGGGCAGCTGCAGCCGCTAGCTTGCCTTCTGCTCCATTGCAATTTGAGGGTACCCTAGGATGGAAAGGATCTGCTTCAACCAGTGCATTTCGACGGATCCCTGATTCATCCAGGGCCCACAACAACTCGAAACAACGTTTAGATTGTCTTGATATTGATCTGAACGTGGCTGAAGGTAGTGACAATAAAATAGAAGACTTCTTATCTAGAAACAAAATGCCGGTCATATCTGGTCTTCCTTCCGGGGAGGAATCTTCTGTGGAGGCAAGCCCTCGGAGACCGGAAAGGCTGCTGTTGGATCTCAACAGTATCGGGGATGAAGGTGCTGATGCTGTTGGTTTGGATTGGAGGCGGGATGGACGAGTAGCCTCCATCAACCAAAATGGGTGGCAAAGTCCGTCTCGTTCCTCTTCATCATCATCAAAGCAGCCTTCTTTAAGAAACATCGATTTGAATTTGAACGATCAGCCGGTTTTTCCATATGGTGCTTCCTTGGATCATCGTTGTCTTGGCAAGTCATCTAACCACTCTGGTGCTTCTAGAAGCACGTTCAAGCACGATGAATCTGTTATTTCCATTTTTGGTACCAAACTTGACGTGAAGACGAACGATTCTCTTCCTCAACCTAGCGGCAGGATTTTGGAGCCGCCAGTAGATTTCAGTTTGGGGCGACCAGGGGCTGGTTTGGGCCTAGAATCTTCCATAAATTACGGTAATCCACCTTTTTACGGGCATAATGGTTTCGCACCAGGGGCGGCTATGTTTTTCTATGGATCTCCTGGTGTGCCAATTCCTTATATGGTTGATTCAAGAGGAACCCCTGTTGTACCTCAAATTATGGGTTCTTCTCAACCACCGTCGCCTTTCATCATGAACATGGCTGTAGCCGGTTCATCCTCTGGTTCAAGCGGGGCTGGACCCTCGCTGCATAACTTCGATTTGAACACCGGCTTAATGATTGATGGAGGAAATAGGGAGACCATTGGGGGATTAAGACAGCTATTCCATCACAATGGTGGATCTATGGATGAACAATACTCGAGGGCAAATAGGTCATTTCAAGCTTCCTCTAGTTCTCTTGTTGGAGGGAAACGCCGTGAACCTGATGCCGCCAGATGGGAGCTTTTTCCGGCTAACAAGCACCCACAGCCACCATGGAGGTAGAGGTTTGTTCCTATAACTATTTGATCTCGATCTGGATCCGGTCTTTGGGTCATTCTTATTCTTATGAGATTAATTGGCAAAAAAAGAAAAAGAAAAATGGAAATAGGTTTTTACCCTTTTGCTCACAGACATTTATTTGTTACTTTTTTCGGTACTTGATAGAAGGGTGTTTCTGCAACACACAACTTTGTTTACATGTAGTTGTAGTTTCTTCTCCATATATATCAAAGAAAACTAGAGAAGCTTTTCTATTTCTTTTAACAGATTGCATAAAAGTTCCTGTTTTGTTATTTAGGCTTGTCTGAACCGTTCGTTTCTGGTATTTACATGTATGTGTCGTCTTTCTGGGATATATTCTTTGAAACAGTCGTTCTGCCCGACTGTCTGCTTCATACGCACACACCTGGACTCAGTTTTAAAACCGTTCGTTTCTGGTATTTACATATACGTGTCTTCTTTCTGGGATGTATTCTTTGAAACAGTCGTTCTGCCCGACTGTCTGCTTCATACACACACACACACACACACCCCTGGACTCAGTTTTAAAACCGTTCGTTTCTGGTATTTACATATATGTGTCTTCTTTTTGGGATATATTCTTTGAAACAGTCGTTCTTCCCGACTGTCTGCTTCATACACACACACATACACACACCTGGACTCACAGTTTTAAAATCGTTCGTTTCTGGTATTTACATATATGTGTCTTCTTTTTTGGGATATATTCTTTGAAACAGTCGTTCTACCAACTGTCTGCTTCTCACACACAAACACACACACACACACCCCTGGACTCACAGTTTTAAAACCGTTTGTTTCTGGCTATTTACTTATATATATGTATGTGCGTGTGTCTACTTTTTGAACAGTCACTCTATCCATTGCCTCCTTTATATGCACCCGGACTCATGGTTTTAAAAAGCTTCAGATATAGGAGTTATTGAGTCCATCGTAAGACAACCTTTGTTCTCCTCCCCAACTGATGTGAGATCTCACAATCCACCCCCCGTCAGGGATCCTTTGTCCTCGCTGCAGTTCTCGACTTTGATACCATTTATAACATATCTTGCCAACCGTACATGATATTATCCGCTTTATCCGCACCTGAACTCATAGTTTTAAAATACATTTGATAGCATCCCTTATTAAGGCAAGTATTGTTCCTTCCCCAACCGATTTGAGATCTCACATGTTGGGTTGGAAATAAAGCCTGCATGGATCATATCCTGGGACCCGATCTTCTTCATGTTACCAATGAAGGGTGTTCATTGGTTGAAATATAATGGATTTATGTGAGGAATTGAGCGTCTCTAACAACTATATGCTATTTTAGAAATTTTGGAAATTTAGTAAAACGGTATCTCTAAATTTGGAAGAAGAGAGAGAATGTAGCATTTTCTTTTTGAAGTATATATAATATTTACATACGACAAATAGAACAAATAAACTCACATACCCTCCTTACATTTGGTGAGGATTGAACCCTTGACCTCTTAGGAGGTCAATGACTCGCATATCGCTAGGCCAAAGGTTCTTTGGTAAAAATGTAGCATTCTTGTTGGAAATGCTTTTAGATATTCAATTTTGGCGATTGATCTAATTCAATGAATTTTGGACAAATGATCCTATCTAATCCAATAAATGATGGTTGGTTTATATTCATCGGATATTATCATTAAGTTATGTGTGGTAAACTAGTTGATTGGCTGGTGACTGATGTTGTTTTTGGGTTATTTTTGTCAAACAATGCCTTGGTTATTTATTTTGACTCGTTTAATGTTCCCATCCAATTTTGAAACAATTAATCCACAACTTTGATCGATTATCTATGGGAAAAGTTCAGAAAAAATCAATGAACTCTCTTATTTTGGATGATTAAATCTATGACCGTGATAGTTCCGCTACCTTAGAACCGTTATAGTTTTGGCTGTCATTCACTGGGGATTCGGTTGTTGGCTCTCCTGTTATCAGGTCACCAACTTCCTTGACCTTCCGATACTGCGTCAGCCTCCATACATGGTCGCTGGCTCTTCTGTTAGAACATTTTCAACAAATTCTCTGAAATAAAGAAAATTGAGTTTTGGTTTTCTATATTGTTTTCTAAAATTCTCTAAAACTTTTTAAATAACAGAAAAAAATGTTATTTCAATATTTACAACCAATGAAATTTATTTATTAGTTTTACTAGAAGGATACTCACACAATGCACTGAGATGCATTTTAATTTTAATTTTAATATTTTGTTTTGTTTTTTTATTCCCGTTAATATAAATACGGTTTTGTATGGTTTTAAGAAAGCAATAATGTCTTTTTTTGAATAAAATATAAATTTGAAAATATCATAGAATTTTAAAAAAATATCGATATTAGTATCAAATTAACATTCTCGCTTTTTGTATAATTTTTTTATTCAATTTTTATTTATTATAATTTAATTTATTTTTGTTTTAATAATATAATTCTTTATAAAAATAATAATTTAGTATTCTGTTAGAAATCAATAATTATCTTAATTACATTTAAAGTTTTTATATTTATAATGATATGTTCATATTGTATTTGATTATGTTTATCTACAGTTAGGGTTGTAAACGAACTGAATGAACACGAACATAGGCTTGTTCATGTTCATTCGTTTAGCATAACCGAACAAACGAACAAACACGAACGGTAGACGAACGAAAATAATTGCGTTCGTATTCGTTCGTTTAGAAATTAGACGTGTTCGTGTTCGTTTATTACCATGCTAAACGAACGTAAATGAACATAAACAAACGGGTTAAACGAACAGGTCTAAACAAACATAAAGAAACAAACACCAATACTTGTTATTCAATTAAATATTACACACCAATTATTCATGGTTTAAATATACACAAAACAATGACCATTTATCAATCATCATTAATGTACTAATACTTAAAAGGTCCAATACTTAAAAGTTTTTTAAAATTTGAATTCAAACTAAATAAATAAAAATTATATATTAAAATTATCATATAAACGAACAAATATAAAAGAACGTAAATGAACGAATGTTCACGAACATAAATGGATGAATGAGACTCTTGTTCAATTTAAAGTGTCTAAATTTCGGAGTAAATGGGCTTCTAAATGCGGTATTTCATTAGTCACCCGAACAAAAAAATTGTTCATGTTCGTTGATTTATTAAATAAACGAATATAAACGAACTTTCCGCCTAACGGTTCACGAACGATTCGCGGAATGTTTGATTCGTTTACAGCCCTATCTACAGTTAGTTACACGAATTCAAAAATGGAGTTTTAATAAGTTGTACTTATATACAATCTATTTGTAATATGCATTAATCAACAGTTCTTCATATATAAAAAATTATTTTTAAAAGTTTTTATTAAATTATTGAAATTCTTTAAAATAATTAATTTATAATTATAACTCTTAATTCTCTATTTTAAATAATCCTAAAAGGATAAATGATCCTGTCTAATAAGGTGAATAGAATTGACGGTCGGATCACATCCGTTGAGTCGCGATCTAACAAGCCATCCGACGGCTCGCATTTCTCTGGATCCCCTCACCATACAAAACCAATGCCCCCACCAATTTCTTTTACTCATCTCACCACACTTCTCACGGGCTTAATGGCCGAACACCCACCGCCACCGTCGTCTCCGCCGCCGGCGGTGTCTAATAATCCCGATCCCATACAATACTGGTGCTATCAGTGTGACAAACGTGTCCCTGTAGAAACCCGACCCGACCACCCCGATATCATCTGTTTCGAGTGTAAGAACGGATTTGTCGAGTCGATTTCAGTCGCAGCTCACACACGACAAGTTAGCGATGAAGACACTCCCGCTTTTGGCAACGAGTTCCTTCAGGTACTTAGGTTAATCGCTCAGGCGGCGCGTGAGGACGATGAGCCTCCGCCTCCTCCTTCCGACCACCCCGCCGGTGACAACGATTATCTTCGTATCGAGCTTGATGGATGGGATAACGGTAACGTTAATCTCAACGAAGACGAAGACGAAGACGAAGACCAAGAGGATCCATATCAAGGAGATCAAGATAGGGCTCGATTTGTCGTCGATGATGATGATGATATTGATGATGATGAGCATGACGAAGAAGAAGAGATCCAGAATCGAAACTTAGAAGAAGATGAAGAGGATTTCGTTAGAAGAGAAAGGCGTGACGTCCTCCGTCTTCGCCTCCGCGACTTCGCGAGCCGAGCTGCTAGCCGTCGTAACCGGATTCTGGATTGGGCAGAGATCCTAATGGGACTCGAAGATCAGTCGATCGAATTCAGGTTACAAGTTCCAGGAGATGATGATGGTTACGTCGGCAATCCTGGAGACTATGTTGACGCAGCGGGATACGAAGCCTTATTGCAAAACCTAGCCGAGAATGATACCAGCGGGAGGAGAGGGGCGCCACCTGCGGCCAAATTGGCGGTTGAAGGGTTACAAACAGTTGAACTGAATTCCACTAATATGGAAATCTGTGCTATATGTAAAGACAGAGTGTTCAATAATGAGGAAAAGATTGCGAAAAAATTGCAGTGTGGACATATGTATCATGGGGACTGTATAGTGCCATGGTTGGGTTCAAGGAATACTTGTCCTGTTTGTAGGTATGAGTTGCCTACAGATGATCCTGAATATGAAGAAGATAGAAAGAAGAGGTCAATAACCGTGGCTGCTTCTGCAACTGATCATGGTTGTTCTTCGAGTTCCGGTGGTGGTGGTGATTAAGAAGTGGTATGTATGCTATTTCTCATTGATGTTGTACTTCATAACTTGGGTGTTGATTTTTCGTTGATCTTATAAACTGATGATGTCAATTTCTTGTGTTCTTTATGTTGTAAATACATATTTACTCAATTTGATGATCGAATTTGTCTTTTTTTTTTACCTTTGCTGTATGTTTAGTTACTTAATGCACAAGATCACATGGATTTTTTTTGTTGTTGTACTCTTTCATGGGTGTGATAGTGAATCTTGAATGAGTTGGATGTTCATTGGTTATGACTTATGAACACTATTAAAAGGTATACATTTGCTAACATGGAGTAATATAGCAATATAACAGAGCTTTCTGGTTGCTGATTCTTCTGATTTATGTATTGGGGTCCATATTAGTAAGAATTGGTTCGAGTAAATTGTATAGCTAAGTGTGGTTTATGAGCTAGCGATAGCGAAGATGTGATGGTGTAGCCAGTCTCAAGGGGAAGTCTTTCCATTTGTAGATGTTAACATGGTGAGCGTAATGAAGATAGCTTTTGGATTTTTCTGCTGTACATGACCTCACTTGACCTCACAGGTAGTGTTTTCTTCCTTTTTTGCATGCATATTGGGTATAGGGAACCCATTTAGGGAATGTTTGACAACCATAAGGTAGCCTATTTTTTGAGATTATTAAAGAACGTGTTTGGTCCTAAGCTTCGGCCTTTGGGGGTTTTATCTTTGGGGGGGGGGGGGGTTCCCTCTTTTTGTTCCTTCCAATAATGTCCTTCACATTTTCCATCTAATTTTCAACATTAATTTTCGGTCATTTTACATTGTGAGCTAGTCTATAAAATAGTTTTTTTTTTACAAAACAACACTAGCATGTCAGTCAACAACTAGCCTATTAGTCAACAACTAGCTTTCCAACTAACTGTAAGCATGATTTTATCTGGGGTCTTCGCGGAAACAGCATCTCTAACTAAAGGTTAGAGGCAAGGTTTGCCTACATTCTATCCCCGGACCCTACGTACCTTTGTGTAGGATATATTGGGTTCATTTGGTTTGGTTTGTATAAGCATGAGTATGTAGTATGATATGATGCTCGTGAATCGTGATTGATGCACATAGTCACGGTGTACAGCTTTCTGGTCATGATGTATTATGACATAGTAATGTATATGTGTACACTAGTTTTGTGGTTGCTGGTTTTGCTTAGTGGCATTGCTGAAGCAACACGCTAGTTGACCCGACAAGGTATTTACATTTTGAACCTTTCTTAGTTTGATTTTTGGGATATTGTTTATGCTGTTGGTGTTTTGTAATTTTTTGGTACTAAAATGCTGATATTGATTCATGGGATGTCAATATGATCCATAGACTGTAATTTGTGTTTATCTTTCGGAATATTGTTATTTAAGTTGTATTTAACCAAAAAAGAGAAGTTGAGGGATACCTTTTCTACTTCAATTTCTATTTGGTGACATATTAAGAGTTACGATATAGATGCTGTGTGCATTTACACTTAATGTTTGTGTACCACTTTCTTTTGTGAGGAACTTGGATCATTTTTTTTCTGTAGGATGTTGACATAGGAAGACATTGCATCCATTTTATACTTGGTGGGAGAGTAGTAATTGTTGTATGCTAGGATTGTCCTTGATAATAAATTGTACATGAAAGTAAGTCCATGAGTCGAAATCCTCCTTTCATTGTGTCGATTCTAGGCTTATTTATCTCTATTTGTTCTAAAATGGTTTAGGATCAATAGGTGGCACTCATGCGATCGAATATACCATTTGCTGACATAGCATGATGATGTGGTACGATAGTGTGTCCATTTTTTTTAATTTTGTTTAACAAATTTAGCCTTTTTGTCATGTTAAATTATCATGTTGTGTTATCGGATGGTAAGTTTGATGGACACTAGTATCCAACTACTTAAAGGGTTATTTATTGAACACATACCGCCTCTTATTGGGTAATTGAACACGTATCACCTCATATTGCGTAAGAGACGCTTACCCGATAGAGATTATGGTCTTCACCAACAATCTTAGGGTTGTTTACCAAACGCTTAACGGGTGAGCACGGTAAGGTAGGACCAAGAATCTTACTTGGTCAGTGAGGGAGAAGACTCTTACTAACAATCCATTTTGATGGCCGAGAATATCACCCGATATGGTAAATGAGGGTGGTGACTTTTGCAGGTAAGAGTAAGCGTTTGGTAAACGGCCCCTCGCCGTATTGCTAACAGAGAATTTGATCCTGTTTCTGCTTTCACTCTTTTCTAGTGTGCCATTTTGCTAACCAGCTGGTAAGTGAGGGTGGTGTGCTTACTGGGTCAGTACTTACCATGTTTGTGTTGGTAAACGGTCCCTTACCGTCACATTTAGCAACTGTTCAAGTGTTCATATTACTGAAAATAAAAATTAGTTCACAATTCTTTTTTCTAAATTGTGGCTCTGTTTTTAATTTGAAGAACCACTCTTTTTCTTGAGTTCTGAAACTTCTTGTGAAGGCGGATCCATTTGTTTATAGAAACAGCACCTGGTGATTGTTGATCTTAATCTTCAAGATTTAAATGGTGAATGTGCTGGTCTCCTCCCTCCCTTATCTTCTCTCTCAATGAATGGTTATAGGAATTTCAATTCTTGATATCCCAATCGAATGCATTTCACCTTGAAGCATGCTTGTTGCATCTTCTCTCAGTTCTCTGTGGGGATGAATGCAGTTTTTTGCTATTCCAAGTTTTTCAAGGATTTCGTCATTGAATCCTTGTCCTATTAAGCATTCATCAATCACATAATCGGTTATGGAATTGATCTATGTAGATAGTGGTTCTGTACCAGCAACCAACTCGAGCAAAAAGATCCCAAAGCTATAAAGATCCTTCTTGCAATAATCATGAACCACAAAATTCTAACCACTTCAAGCAGACTTCCATTCATCAAGATCATCACGGCACCAAAATTTGATATCTTGGCTTTAACTTTTGAGTTGATTTTGAGATGGGCTACTCGAAGTTTGCGGTTGTGATGCAAACAAGCAAGCCCTCATGCTCTCCCTACAGCTATTTTCAACCTTAAAGTCCATCCCATCTTCCTAGCATCCAGTGAAGCCCTCATGCTCTCCCTACAGCTATTTTCAACCTTAAAGTCCATCCCATCTTCCTAGCATCCATTCACTGTAGCCAGTGATGAAGGGTTTCATTACACATGTATGTATATACTAGAAATTTCTTCTCCATTTCAAAGCAAAAGACTAGAAGTGGTATTAAGTCTGTGTGCTGCAATCTTCCTAAAATTCTGATTTTTGTTAAAACCTCTTTCTCTAAGCTCTCAAAACTATGGTGCTTCTTGATCGTAAGCAGCAAACTGTCCACAAACCGAGCCTTGCACACGATTCTTGTGTTTCTGTTGCCAACTACGTTTTTATTGTCAAAATCATTGGTTGCCACTTCAAGTTCCACCAAATTTAGTCGATGATAAATTTTTCCATAACAGTTACCTGTGTGTTGAACACATAACTACATGAGTTATCTTCCTACCTTGTTGATAGAGAAAATTCAAGGGCAAGAGGATTTTACCTCCTCTGCGGTAGATTAACTCTTCTGCAAATAAGATTTGGTGGATTCTTTGAATCAGATTATGCTTTCTTCCCTTTATTTTCTTGATTAGAAGATGATAACATTATCTCATGTTGCTTCTCATACAGTCTTGGCCAACAAGAGAACATGAATAGCATACTTAAGAATGTAAAAACAGGAAATCAGCTATACACCCTGAAGTAAAGAAAGAATTAGAAAAAAAGATCATCATCGTCTTCATCCTGGCAGGCATTCAATGGACATCCACAAAGTCGTAGGTTGTTTCCATAGCTTTCTGCAGAGAAGTTGATGTTGGGAAATGTGGGTCCTGTTAGTATGTTGTTAGCGACACTAAATACCTTGATGCGATCATATCCAGACAACTTTGTAAGGATTTGGCCCTAGCTGGTTGTTATCAAGGCTCAGATGATTGATGAAGCTGCAATTGGAAATGCTAGGTGGAATTGGACCTGTGAGATTGTTGTTGGAGAGATCGAGAGATGCTAGATGATGTATGGTACAAAATCTGCTAGAAAGATTTAGCATCAACATGTTGGTGTAGTTTTTTTTATGCCAGTTGGAAAAGATCCTATGAGTCCCATGTTTTGTATCTCAAGATTCACAACTCTGGTCTCATCAATAGACCGACATCGGACAGCATGGAAGCGATGGATGAAACCTCGAGTCATGTTGTCAAAATTCCAGGTGGTACATAAAACATGGTAAGGATCTTGTAGTGATTCCTTGATGGATCTAAAGCAACTGATGTTTGACTCGGTGGCAATATTGCTCGTAGTAGAGCAAGTTAGTATGATTAGCATCCGCAAGCCCAAAATAGGAATACCATTTGTCTCCATCATGAAGATGGTGTTGCACGATGACATAACGAATATGGTTAGACTAAGGAACATTTAATCGATAAGCTCTTAATAAACGGCCCCTAAATCTCTTGTGGGATTCATTTCCAAGAAAAAAACAGGGTAAAGAGGAACTATGTTGTTAATATCGCGATATATCGTCGATATATCGGATATCGCTCCTAGAGAAAATATCGGTCCATAAATATCGGTCAAAATATCGTCCTCGATATTATTGGCGATATTTTCCGATTTTTCCCGATTTTTAGCGATATTTTGATGCAAATATCGGACCGATATATCGATTTTTTAGGGTTTAAATATTTGGGCTTTTGTTTTGGGCCTAGTTTTTTGGGCTTGGTAACTTAAATTAGGCCTGAAATTGATCTGCCTCCACAACGGTCTTTTTATTTTTATTTTTTATATTAGCTCGTTTTTGAACACTTTAGATGATGTGATGTTTTAATTTTGAAACTATATTTCTAAACTCTAATTAATGCATATTATATATATAATTCTAAGAAATATTATGTTAACCGCTATTTTAGACCGATATATCACCGATATATCGAATATCGGTCTTGACCGATATTTCGTATTCTGACCAATATAACAGCATAGAAGAGGAATACTATTTGAAGTCAAAGACTCAAAGGTTGGTGAAAGGATGATAATGTTTTGACTTTTAAAGCCTTTTAGTCCTTGGTAGATATTTATTATAGATTCTAAGCTGAAATTTGGGGCATTAAAGAAAGTGATTGGTCAATCTTTCGCTCATTCCTTCATGATGGATGGTTGATCTATTCAGTGGTCGAACCTTTCAAGCTTTCCTGAATTCTGTCTGTCACAGTATGATGAATTGCAGTCTTAAATTATCGTTGACTAAATCAAACTTGCAATTAAAATCCTTTGACTTAAATTTATCCATCCGACTCCTTGAGCCAAAGGAACCAAGTGCGAACCCTTTTCGTAACTCTCTCCTTTTCCTTCAACTCGTGGTTCATATCCATCGTGGATGACTCTAAGTTATTTGAATCGTTCTTCTTTGAGGTAGAGGAAAAGTTTGCATAGATCTCACCTTCCATATACCTTTTTAAGTTATATTGGGTATGTGATAATATATAATAAATCTAACATCATAAAAGTATCAACTCATTGCTTCACCGTTTACCACCATATGGGTGATGAATAGATGAGATTATCCAATGGATGTGATTAAAAAGATGGTTACAATCGTTTTTATTAGAGCCAAACGAGTTATACCAAAAACCAAACATTTTGTTCTCTTCAATTTACGTCCGTATTTTTTTTTACTTTTTAGCCATTTTTTTGCTGTCATTTTCACTCGAAAGTAGAGTTGGGACTTAGACTTATCAGCATCAACAACTTTTCTAACCCTTCAAAAACGTTATAGCCTTTGACTCTAAGCATTTTTTCTTGGAAATGAGTGACTTGGACTATTATTGGCAAACACAAAACATTACATTCATATGAAACACTATATATATATATATATATATCATGCAACACACACTAGATTCATTGAAGATGAAAACAAATGGTACTCTTAGTTTGTGCTTGTTGATGCTGATCATACTAGGTTCTTTTGCTACAAGCAATGCTGTTGAGTCGGACATCAGTTGCCTTAGATCCATCAAAGAATCTTTGGAAGACCCTTTGCAGAGGTTATTTAATTGGAATTTTGACAACTCGACTCAAGGTTTCATCTGCAGCTTTACTGGTGTCGGGTGCTGGCACGATGATGAAAACAAGGTTCTGAACATTAGGCTATCAGACATGGGACTTAGAGGTTCATTTCCAATGGGCTTAAAGAACTGCACAAGCATGACCGGATTAGATCTTTCTGGCAACGACATCTCAGGACCCATTCCTTCTAACCTCACAGATGTTTTACCCTTCATCACGTCTTTGGATCTCTCCAACAACAATCTCTCGGGTCCAATTCCACCTAGCATTTCCAATTGCAGCTTCATCAATCTTCTGAAGCTTGACAGTAACCACCTAACAGGCCAAATCCCTCCTGAAATGGCTTATCTTAATCGCATCAAGGTGTTTAGTGTCGCTAACAACGACTTATCAGGACCTGTACCCTTATTTCGCAGCATTAGCATCGTCTCTGCACAAAGCTATGCAAACAACTTAGGACTTTGTGGAGGTCCCTTGGACACCTGTGAACATGAAGACGGTGATGATCTCTTTCTTATAGGGTTTGTGGTTGGATTTCCTATTTTTACAATCTTGAGTATGTTGTTTATGTTCTGTTCACCTGCACTGAGTATCGACAACATGTTATCTTATCTTCTTCTGATCAAGAACATAGAGAGAAGGTTGCATCACCTGATTCCAAGAAGCCCCCAAATCCTATTGGAAGGGGAAAGTAGCAGTGATGAGGGAACGGTAAAGTCCTCTCACTCTCTATCTCGTTCATGTAGTTATATGTTTAACACACAGGTAACTGCCATGGAAAAGTTAATCCACCGACTGAGTTTGGTGGAACTTGAAATGGCCACCAATGAGTTTAGTGATAAAAACGTAATTGGCCATGGAAACATAGGAGTCATGTACAAGGGCGCGTTC